AACATTTTGTCTTTTCAAACCAAGGAAAGATGTATAGTTTTATAAATGGCAACACAGAATGTCTGGAACAACTTTAAATAAGTTGGCTTTAATGTTTGTATTTCAGACATAAATATAAACAAAACTATAAACAACAATACACACATTGCCACAGATCATATGATAAAATGTTTTTTACATTTCTCAAAACTGAACACAACAAAGTTGTGATTTAAAAGAGAAAAAACAGTGAATAACACACAAAACGTGCCAACCTTATATTTCTTCAATAGAAATCACTCAACCTTTATTAAATTTATTGCCTCAGTTCATACATGTAAAATGCTGCTGGAGATTCTCAGTCATTCAGGACTGAGTTAAATATCAAAGCATCTTAACCTTAAATATTCAAAGATTATGTTTAACACAGTAACTTACCAAGGGCTTTGTAGTTTTTGATGAGTAAAAAAAGTCTGGATCTTTATTCATCTCCCTGTTGAGATCAGGACTGATGTCAAACAGCAGCAGCTCAGTGTTGCTTCCTCCTCCGTCCACACTGAACACTCCACTCCACAGGACCTGCTGTCCACCTGGGACGACCGAGGACGCCAGCAGTCTGCTGTCTTCACCTCCAGAGAAACTGAGAGTCGCTCCATGAAGAGACTCCAGAGTCTGAGTTTTACTGGTTTCAGCCTGAAGCCAGATCAGACGGACTTTGTTGCTTTTACCTCCTGATGCCACGTTGGAGAACAGATACACTGTTGAGTTGATCTGGAATCCGTCCACAAACTCTACTGCAGCTTCAGTTTGGATCCCAGGTTTATCACCTGATTGATCAGACCAGGAAAATATTTCCCCAGGCTGGTTTTGATTGGTGTTTTGAAGGTTGATTGTCTTTAAATCAGCGCTACAGTCTGTCTTGAGTCTAGGATTCTTTATCGCTGTCAGGATGTAAGTCTCAGTCTGACCTGAATCCTCCTTCACATCCACCAGAAAGCTGACAGAACCACTGCTGCTTCTCTGAGGTCCCACCTGGATGGATTCACTGTAAACCAGCTTGGAGATGTTCTTCAGGTCCAGAATCTCACAATAACCACAGAGTTGTTTTTCCAGTCACACCGCAGCTGATCAATGTGTCATTTTTCTCAAATGGTAAAAAAACATTAACTTTTAAAGTTGCATTCCAGGCAGTCTTCATGGGGTTTCTGTAAAACTCCTCTTATCCGGTTGGTCCCCACTCTTTAAGGTCCCTCTCTGGGTCAGGCTGTAGATCAGAGTCAGGTCATGGCTCAGCTGGTAAAGTTTCTCCTCTGTAGCGATGTAGACAGAGCTGTTGCCCACAGCGAGCTGACGGAGGTCACCTTCAAAGTTAAAACCTCTGTTCTCCTCCAGACACTGAGCAGGTTCTCCCCAGATGGAGCAAAGCAGACCGAGCAGAAAATAGATCATCTTGTACCAAAGACCGACTGAGACAGTGAGACATTGATGGACTGCAGGACAGTGTGGTGTCTGTGTCCAGAGGTGTGCGTAAATGCGCTGCTAAAAGAAGAAGTGAAAAAATTGGAAGGAAATGAGCGAAACCGGAAATAAAAACAGCACATAATTTACAAAGGTTTTAGTAACCATGTTGTGTGCTGCGCAAATGAATTCACCTGGTCGATTCGCTTAAAGCGAGTAAAGCTCCGAAATAAAACGCGCACCTGTTGAGTGAGCGCGCGCTGCCCAGGTAAAACTCTGCTAAACACTGGCTACAATGAACGCTTTTTCTCAATGACATTTTTACAGGGTCGCACACCTCCGCAAACTAACAGAACACGGTCCATCATCCAATAGTCCCAAACGACTTATTCTAAAAGTCTATGAGTATTTCTGAAGTCGAGTCGAAACGTTGTCTCCACATAAAGGGATGAGTTTTGATCCATTTTATGAACACAAACGCCCTCTAGCGTCGGGAAGTTGTCATTACTGCCAACGACTCCTGCCGAAGCCTTACGAGTTACGACCCATTCGGTAGGCGGAGAAATGCCTTTTTACTTCCCCGGCAGATTACCTGATGAAAGCAGTGGCGGAGCTAGACTTTTTTTCAAGGGGTGGCCAAAGGGTGAGCAAGGCTTTATCAGAGGGGTCCATATACAAATGATGAACGAAAGGAAACAAATATTTTCTCACACACACTCAAATTAAAATGGTTTATTTAACTAAAATTTGCCATGACCAAACAAGACGTTAAATGGCACTATGGAACAGTGAACATGTAAATGTAAACTCAGAGCCCAGAATATGACCAAAAACAAATTCTCACAAATAAATAAATAAAAATAAACTGGTGCTTCTGGTGTGCAATAGGTTGTGCTGGGTGGGGGCAGTTCAGTGCCATTTCCTTCTGCTTCACTGTCTTCCTCCCCAGAGTCTGACTCTGAATCTGTATCACCCTCATCTCTCTCTGGAACTTAATTGGAAATGCATAAACAGACACAATAAAAAATGCAAAAAGCATCATGCTAACCTTTAGAATTAGGCTTATTGGATTTTAATACTTAATAACTCTCTGTCACAGCCTCTAACCCGCTGGTGATACACTTGGGCCTGGAGTCTCCTGGCTGGATTCTCCAGGTTGGTCACTGCTGCAGGGTTCTGTCTGGTCCTGGTCACTGCTGCAGGGTTCTGTCTGGTCCTGGTCACTGCTGCAGGGTTCTGTCTGGTCCTGGTCACTGCTGCAGGGTTCTGTCTGGTCCTGGTCACTGCTGCAGGGCTCTGTCTGGTCCTGGTCACTGCTGCAGGGTTCTGTCTGGTCCTGGTCTGGTCCTGGACACTGCTGCAGGGCTCTGTCTGGTCCTGGTCACTGCTGCAGGGTTCTGTCTGGTCCTGGTCACTGCTGCAGGGCTCTGTCTGGTCCTGGTCACTGCTGCAGGGTTCTGTATGGTCCTGGTCTGGTCCTGGACACTGCTGCAGGGCTCTGTCTGGTCCTGGTCACTGCTGCAGGGTTCTGTCTGGTCCTGGTCACTGCTGCAGGGTTCTGTCTGGTCCTGGTCACTGCTGCAGGGTTCTGTCTGGTCCTGGTCACTGCTGCAGGGCTCTGTCTGGTCCTGGTCACTGCTGCAGGGTTCTGTCTGGTCCTGGTCTGGTCCTGGTCACTGCTGCAGGGTTCTGTCTGGTCCTGGTCACTGCTGCAGGGCTCTGTCTGGTCCTGGTCACTGCTGCAGGGTTCTGTCTGGTCCTGGTCTGGTCCTGGACACTGCTGCAGGGCTCTGTCTGGTCCTGGTCACTGCTGCAGGGTTCTGTCTGGTCCTGGTCACTGCTGCAGGGTTCTGTCTGGTCCTGGTCACTGCTGCAGGGCTCTGTCTGGTCCTGGTCACTGCTGCAGGGTTCTGTCTGGTCCTGGTCACTGCTGCAGGGTTCTGTATGGTCCTGGTCTGGTCCTGGACACTGCTGCAGGGTTCTGTCTGGTCCTGGTCACTGCTGCAGGGTTCTGTCTGGTCCTGGTCACTGCTGCAGGGTTCTGTCTGGTCCTGGTCACTGCTGCAGGGTTCTGTCTGGTCCTGGTCACTGCTGCAGGGTTCTGTCTGGTCCTGGTCACTGCTGCAGGGTTCTGTATGGTCCTGGTCTGGTCCTGGACACTGCTGCAGGGCTCTGTATGGTCCTGGTCTGGTCCTGGACACTGCTGCAGGGTTCTGTCTGGTCCTGGTCACTGCTGCAGGGTTCTGTCTGGTCCTGGTCACTGCTGCAGGGTTCTGTCTGGTCCTGGTCCCTGCTGCAGGGTTCTGTATGGTCCTGGTCTGGTCCTGGTCACTGCTGCAGAGTTCTTTAAGAAGAACTGGGAGATCTTCCCTTTTCTCTTCATTTGGGTTCTACACAAAATAAGAGCCTGGTATTTACACTCCATGACTGTTTGGCAGAGACAACACTATTTTAACTATTATTTAAACTATAGTTTTTAGTTTTCTGTAGCTAGCTAAAATACTAAATTAAAAATACATTAATTAAAATTAATTAATATAACTAGTTGGGTTATAATTCAAAGCTTTCATATGACATAGCCTACTTACATTTCAGTCATTATAAAACTTAATGGTTTTTCTCATATTCTTACCACACATTTAAAGCAAGAGCTGGAGAAATAAAACATTAGAGGGCAGCAGTGCACTAAAACATATGTTAAAAGAATCTGTCTAAACACAATCTACCAGCACTAGCATGGCTAATATAATAAACGAGGCACTACGCAGCGATACACAACCATTTTTTTTTTTTTTTAGAAATGTATGACAAGTGCCGCCTCTCATTAGGAAGGTAACAGCGGTTACTGCTGAGCGGTAAAATGTTGGAAATACCTGCAGAACTCCTCGACGGTGTAACTCTAAAGCCTCGGATGTGTTGTGTATCAAGCAGGACCCACATGTCAGTTTAACCAATGAACAGTGTCGGGCATCGGGCTGCCTTCAGGGACAGTCGGAAATTATACTTTTCCTGGCAAATCTTTGCCGATCTCATAAGTATTATATTTTAAAATGACCATTTCCAGTGGGGTGGCAGTAGGGGTGGCCAGGGCTCTGTTGGGGGTGGCAAGTCCACCCCGGCCACCCCTCTGGCTCCGCCACTGAGGTGAACCAATAAATATTATTACTTATCATTATCTTGGTGAATGTTTACTGCCTCCCGACCTAAGAGGGAACTTGTAAGAATCGGAATTGTTTTATATCATATGCAATTTGGTCTTGGATTCCAAATGGTGCCTTTACAAAGGATGGAGAGCGAGCTCCAGCAGAGCCACGAGCAGAACGGCCAGCTGACCGGGAGGCTGCACCGCGCCGAGAGGGAGGCCAGCGCTCTGACCGCTCAGGTACGCTGCTCCACATCCGGTCTGAGTCTGACTCCTCAGAGAGTCGCTGCTGCTTTAACTCTTCACCCTGACTGCTGGCAGGTCGACAGCCTGAAGCATTCGCACAAACTAGAGCTGGCCAGCGTCAGGCTGGAGTGTGCTCGCTCCAAAGGAGACATGGAGAGGGAGAGGGACGCTGCAGGGACAGATGGACGGTACAGAGACACTCCCAGACACAAACATACGCAGTCGTTTTTTTATGACTTGTGGGGACACTTTACTGACTTCCATTCATTTTCTTTATCCAACCCTAACCATCACATACCTGACCCAAAAACAGCAATTCCCCTCATGGGATCCAAGAAAATGTCCCCTCAAAGATCAGTGGTCCCCACAATCCCAGAAATAGGTTCCCACAAGGATATAAAAACCTGATTCACAGATGCACACACACCTGATTGATTGATTAACTGGTGTGGTTGATATGTGACGTGTTATATAATGTTATTTATTACCCATCACTTTTTGTTTAAAATTATGGAAATTTTAATTATGACCAATATGACTTTACAATTTAATTATAATTTTATTGTGTATATATTTTTTTCTATTAAAATGCCATTGACCTCGGAGTTTTAAGGATGAAATTAGAAATTCTTACTTGAAAGGCCTGAGATTCTGAGATATTAAAAAGCTTATAAGTGAGTTATGCAAGTTCTGTTTAAAATAATAGTTTTATCTTCAATAAGGTTTTCGTTGGTTCATCACTTTATTTTTAGTAGACTGGAGACTCACCAGATCCTGCCAGACTGTTACAGAAAAGCTCCCTGTCAAAATGTTAATACCTGAACATCTCTGTGAACAGAGATGTTCAGGTATTAAAGCAGACTGAGTCTGGACTTTGACTGGACCATTTGATACCTCAATATGCTTTGATCCACAGCAGGTTTGGTCGGTGTTCATGTCCGCATGTTCTAAAAGTTTCCTCTATTCAAAACCTGAATTAATTATTTGAATTCCTTTTTTAAACCAGATCTCAGTTCCTCCATTATTATTATTATTATTTTTACAAATGGTGAGGGAACAAATCCTCCCAACATTTGTTCTGCTCTGTGTCTGCAGAGCTTCTAACAGCTCAGCTGTGACTAGCGTCTGCTTCATGTGTCTGTTTTCTACTTCCTTCTAGCATAAGAAAAATACTTTTCCAAGAAACACTAAATTAATGTTTTTCTTTCCTTAAGTCTCACCTAGCTAAAGTCAATTCATTCATAAAAAGCTACTGTACACATCACAAACAAGCTGTGTTCATATTTTCCAAGGCAGGAAGTATATAATGTGTGTATCTGGTGTGTGTCAGGTCTGCAGGCAGACGTTGAGGTGCTGAAGGCGGCGCTGGAGCGAAACAAGGAGGTTGTGTTGGAAAAAGAGAGAGAGATGGTGAGGAAGGTGCAGTCGGCCCGAGAGGAGGAGTTCCACAAGATGGCCGCCTTACACGAAGAGAGGTGAGACTCACCTCATGAACCTGATCCAGAATGAGTGAATATGAACGAGTGAGTCGTGTTAAATCATCCTGCATGTGTTTGTTCCAGGCTGGAGCTGGAGAACCGCCTGGCAGTGTTGGAACAGCAGAGGGCGCTGCAGGACTCGTCGGATCAGACACTGAAGGAGGAGTGGGAGGAACGACTGCGCAGCGCTCAGCAGGGAGAGGAGTCGCTCCGCAGAGAGCTGCAGAACCTCAGGTGGGCCGGACCGGACCGGACCGGTACTGTACACCCCAACCGAAGCCCTTTCTAGTTCCGTGGGCCCCTAGTTTATCAAACTACAGCGCAGATTCATATCCCTGCAGATGATCCACCACATTCTAGTTTAGAAGCCTAACAGGCTGCAGTTAAAAGACCTAATTATTAAACATGCCAATACGTCAAGGCCAACTTATCCCCCCATATAAATGTAAGACTTTTTAAGGATGCAAACAACCTGAGTCAATCTTTACATCTTTATTTTATAATATCAAAGATGTAACAAATTTGAGATGTTTTAATGCTGCACAATCGGCCCCCAGCATTCGCCTTCAAGTTACAGCCTAGTTAAAGATCCTGTTCCTGTTTCTGTGGTTTGAGACTTCAGTGTTTCATGTTGGTCAGTAAAGTCTGGGGCTGATGATGATGATGTGAAGTTCCTCTCAGCACAATAACCATCTAATGTGAATCTATTCTTGAAAATGTTTTGTGTTTCCTAGAAACAAACTGCAGCATCAGAGTTCACAGCTAGAGGAGCGAGAGAGACAGAAAGCAGAGATTATTGAGCTGCAGCAGGTGAGTCTTTTTGTTCTTTTCTTTGTTTTGAGTTGTAATGGATTTGATTTCTACCCTGAATATTGTTTGAGACAACAGCAGAACCAAGAGCTCAGTGTCCAGCTGGGGGCGCTGTCACGCTCTGAAGGCGAGCTGATGGACGCCAACCGGAGACTGAGGGAGACTCTGGACAGAGTGAGGGAGGAAGCGCGGGCGACCCGGGCCCAGGTGGAGCGGAGCCAGCATGAGGCAGAGAGGTGCGGCCGCTCGCTCTCTGCCGCTTCCTGTGGGTGCAATCTTTAGCTGCCTCCACCAATTCCTAATCGATTCATATTATAAATACTTTATTGATCTGACAGGGAAACTAAATGTTGCTGTAACTCAATATATTCATGATTCTTTACAGAGTTATTACAAATGGTAATGGCTGTGGGAAGGAAGAATCTCTTGTAGCAGTCAGTATTACAGCAAACTGAAAAGGCCTCTGACTGAAGACACTGTTTCTACGAGAACCTCATGAAGAGGAAGGCTTCATGAGTTCCTCTTCATGAGGAACTCTGATTGGGTCATGATTGGGTCTCTTTAACACGTTGAACAAATTAAACTATTACTTAGAACCTAAGTTCACCAACAGTATGAATGATGTTGAGCCAAACTAACTGACCTAGCTTAGGATGTGATTAGGATTGGATTGATACACATTAAACCCTGACAAATTTAGCAGGTGACATGTCAATGTCAAATGTCAATGTCAAATTTATTTATATAGCACTTTAAAACAGGTATAAAACTGCACCAAAGTGCTGCAGGAATGACAATAACACAAGTAGATAAAACAGAATATCAAAAATTGCTTCAGTTAAAAGCCAACGAATAAAAATGAGTTTTGAGAAGCGATTTAAAATGATCCAGGCTGCTAGCAGATCTAATCTGAAAATGCAAATTGTTCCATAAATTAGGAGCAACAACAGAAAAAGCCCGATCTCCTTTCCTTAGTCGAGTCCGAGGGACTGTAAGTAAAAGCTGATTGATTGATCTGAGGGTTCTGGACACAGACTGAAATTTTAAAAGATCCTGAAGATAACCCATTTAAAACTTTATAAGTTAATAAAATAATCTTAAAATCTATTTTATACATAGAAAAAAAAAAAGCAAACCTAATGCCAGACTCAGAAAAAAAAAGGCCTGACCTTGTCTGACTATGTTTTGTTTTTTCTCAGTAACTATATTAAATGTTAAAAATTCCAAGCGGAATGTGGAACACTTGTGGGGATAAAATCCCCACAAGTTTTATTTTTTTAAATATGTTGAAGTTCCACTGTTAAAAAAACTGATGTTGGGTCAATCATATTTGGAACCAGGTGTGTGAAAATTTAGTAATGAAAAGGGGGCGTGTGCGACGGCGAGGCGTGGCACAATCAGCAAGTAGGACGCTCATGGTCAGATCTGTGCAGCGGGAGTTTGGCTTTATTGATTGTTTAACCCAAGGAAAGAAACTAACGAAAAAGATAAAAGATCGATTAAGGTTCGCCCCAGCGCCGCAGATCGTGCCCAAAAGCCTGGACCGAAGTTTGCACCGAGGAAATGCCGCCCGGTGCAGAAGGACGACGCCAGTGCATGGAGGAAGCCACCGGGGGGGAAAAGCGACGCTCCCGATGAGATCTTGACTTTATTTTCTTTTGGGGGTTTTTGGGTGGCACCACTCTTCTTTTTTCTCATCTTTTTTGGTTTTTTTTGACGTTTTGGATTTTTCTTTTGGGATGGAGACCGGGGATTAATACGGAGAGACGCTTCCAGGACGTTGTTTGATTTGGAGTTTATGGGACTCTTTCATGGACAAAAATATTATAAAAAAGGAACAGGACTATTAGGACCTTCGATTATTTAAGTGTGGTTGAGGACTCAGCCTGAACAAGGCGAATCAGACCCTTGATTATTTTGGAGGGTTTTGGTGTAATGATTTAGGTTTATTAAGTATGCAAATTTCAGGTTTTCTGAATAAATAATCTCTGGTAAAAACCTATTAATTTTGTATTGAGTGGTTGAATATTAATTTTTTTATCAAATTAACCTGGTAACACTTATTTCCTATTTACCTGACACAAGATCCCCCTTGTGTGTTTTTTGTGGGTTCCGCTTTAATCAAGCCGAATATTACAGGATGTCGTTCCTAATCTCACACTCCAGCTTTTCCATCACGTTGTTCATCCTAACAGTCAACTGCTGCCGTTGTCTTCGGTAGATGAAAAACACGACTGAAATGAACGAGCCAATGAAGAACAAATGAAGAGAAATCTCGAGCAGGATTTTTGGAGGAGGGCTAAACCATGGTGCACTTACCAACCAGGGTGATGGGGATCAGCAATATGATGAGCAGTATTAAAATTAATAATGAAGATGATTTGTTCAGTTTTATAGATTCATTTCCATATTTCACCTGTAAGAGATAATAATCACAATGGTTGGTAACAATTCATTTGAAGGGGTGTGCATAAGACTGACATGAGACTGTGGTAAGTATGACATAACTCCTGACTTGAACATGAAGTGGTGTCTTCATGGAGGTTTATGACTTTTGTCATGAAGTGTCATTCGGTAAATCATAACACTTGCCCAGTTTTCTAACAAAACTAGAGTCAGTTTAGCTTTTCTGCTTCCATCAACATGTTCTGTCCTGTTTCTTGATTTATATTAACCAAGTAATGTGAAAAACTGATAGGGAAATTTGTTGTAGTTGCAGCTAAAAAACACAGGATTTCAACAGCACTTAAATTGTTCAACTAATACGACCATAAATTTGGTTTTCACCTCGACCATATCAATGTGATCGCTTTGCAGTCCTTTGATCTCACAGGTAAAGGTTTCTGTCTTGTTGATGGTTCCTTCGGGTTTTATGTCGCAGGCATATTGAATTTTATTCTGAATTCCCACAACTGACAGCTCTTCTACTGTCATCTGCAGGTTATCTGCCTTTTTCTGAAAGAACAAAACCAGTTTCCCCTTCAATAATGTAACATCATCATGTCTGACTGAACAAATGTGGACAGAAACGACCTTACCTGAATAATGATGCGGACGTCGTCCCCGTACTTCACCGCTGTGAAGCTGGAAAACTCTGGGTCAGGATAGTAAGTTATTTTCTTCGAGCATGCCAACGTTTCATTGGCTACTTTCAGAAACGCTGTGCTGATGGACACTAGAGGGCCTTTGGCTGCTGGAGTTTTATAGATGAGAGTCTGTTGAAAATGAAAATGTAGCTTGATGTAGTTCACTATATGCTGATAACAGAGTTTCTGTCTGCAGAGTTACCTGATAGCTGCTGCTCATGGGAGACATGACTTCCTGCTGGGTGTGGCTGTGTGTGATCCCTCCACCAAATCCAGGTGAGTCCCAGTAATAGTGACCTTCCTGCCCCCACTGGAGGACACAGAGAACAAACACACTTTACTCGCTTGTTGTTCTGACCAGTTTTTTCACAGCATACAGCATGTGACTCTTCTAACTACAGAGTTTTACGTGCATTCAGTGGTGTGAAAAGTATTTACCATGAAGAAAACCTCTGAACACCTGACTCACTGTAAAGTCACAGTGTTAGCAAAACATCAGGTCAGCTGAGAACTTGACTCAACAAACATCAGGTTTGTCAGGAATCAACAATGAAGAACAAAATGAATCAAGAACACATCAAATCAATCTGGGTTTCAGATTGATTTTAGAGGGTATGTGTGATTTATAAAGTTTAAAAAGGTTCAACAAGAAATCAGGACGTGTGAAGTTTAACCTGGCCTACCAATCAACTTTGGGTTTAATAAATAAATTAATATTACATCAGTGCATGTTGCTCTGCAGATGATGGAAATCTATCATTTTTGCAAGAAAAAGTTTAAATACCTTCTCCAGCTGCTGCTTGGTGTGATATCAGTGCAGATTGGTGATGACTGATAGGTGACGATGAAGTTGCCGTGGCAACTTCCATCTGGAAGGAGAACACATATTTTGACCGGGCCTTTAGCTTCTGTGCTGGGGATGTGGAAGGTCAGACTGGAGCCGTTGTTGCTGAACACAGGAGATCTGATCAGAAAACACAGAGAGAAAAACTGAAAACCATGAACTGACATCACAAGTCAGACCACATTTATTTGCATAGCAAACTTCAGCAACAAGGCAACTCATAATGCTTTACACCAAAAGAACCCAAAACAAAACATAATGCAGTGACCAGTTATGAAACAGGGAATAAATATGTGAGCTGTAAGCAAGTTCACTCTGAAAGGCCACAGTGCACTTTCACATGCACTGTTCCTGTGAAAGTGCATGTCTGCACAGTCAGACAGAGGCTGCACTAGTGTTAGTTTTTCTACCACATGAGGTAAGAGTTGCTATTATAGAGGAAGGTTGCTGATCACTTCTTTCAGACAGAAAACACACTTTTAAGTCATTCAATGTTTTCTCTGTAATTTAATAACTTTCTTTATCCTAAAAAACAATGAGTGAATATATACTTCAAAGGACACATAATGGTTTCAGATACTGTGGTAAAGAATAAAAGGACTCACTCCTTTGGGTCACAGTCCAGGTCTGCTTTAATCCTGACTCGGGTCACATCTCTGAGGTTACGACCCGACAACACAGCCTGATTTCTGCCATAGAAAGACACAACACTGGGAGAGACGGAGGAGATCTCTGGTATCTGAAGGAGCAGAAAATACAAATGTTTCACATTACCAAAGAGTTATAATGAAAATATAACAAATATAACTTGCTGGTTATATTTTCAGTATAACCAAATTAACTCAAAACAATTAAAAATGAGACTCACAGAAAAATTTCTCCCAAACTGCTCAAGGTTTGGGCAAATGTCCTGCAGAAAGAAAGAAGTGACATTTATCAGTTCATTTTATGAAGCTGTTCCAGATTACATTAGAAATGACAAAAGAAATACAGTAGATATTCATATTAAGAAATGCAATTACAACTAACAAACCCTATTTGAGAAGAAAACTTCTCTAAATTTCATCTAAAAATCATCAAATATTTCAAGATTACGTTGCTGACTGCATCAGTGGCCCAGGAGCAGCTGTTCTGTCTCCACCCACATCCTGCTCTGATACACCGCTGACACCTGGACAGAAAACAGCCCCAGTTTGATCCCAGTTTGATCTCAGCTTTACTCAAACATTATGACACATGATGCAGATTCTTTTAGAAACATCAAGATGCAATAATAATGCATCTTTCCTGTTAATGAAACATTGTGAAGAATGAAGCTTCTCTGGATTCAAGACAAATTATTTCCTTTCAGCTACAACATGAAACAGATGATTCTACCAGCTTGTAATCTGTCAGATTTAAATATCAGCTACAATATTTGCATTATTCAGATTTCATGCAGAGTTATTATGAAAACACTGGAGTTAAATCATACTGTTAGACTTTAGGATGATTTCAGTTGTTATTAAATCTGTATTAGAAAACATAGATGAACTTACAGGTGAAAACTTGGTTGCCCCTGGATACTGGAACAATTAATGATCTTTATTTGTTCTGTCAGTTTTGTGTCTCCAAGTCTGATCGTCACGGTAACGTCAGGATCTGTAAATCCAAGATAAAGTATGAAACTTTAACAGCTGAAACAAATGTTTAAAGACTTCCTGACCATCACTGACCATCAGCAGGGAGAGGGTCATTGAGAATGCAGGTGCATTGTGGGTACTGTGGTTTTGGTTCTTGATTTGTACAAAGCTGAGTGAAGGTTGTAGAGAAATCACAGGTGAAGTTAGACTGAACCTTCTTCTCTACAGTCAGATGTGATTGGAGGATTATTTTCATCTGAGAAAAGAACAAATATAAGATGATAATGACTGATAGTTCCAGATAAATACAGTCATAAATATATTAATAACCCACCTCTCCTGTGGAATCCTTCTGAAATCTGTGAGAAACTATTTTCTGCTTGGATTCATCAGGGATGGACAGCCTCTCTGAATCTATGCAGTCGTCTTTAAATGAGCAGCTGAAAACATTTAAATGTGTCATCATAAAGTTGAGATGAAGGATTGAGCTGCAGGTGAAGTTTCTCTGACCTTTTCTTAGAGACACACCAGACACAGAATGGATCCTGGGCAGAAAGACAATCCTTCACATTTTGGTAAGTTGTGCAGTTTGACACTGGAACACGTTTAACCTGGAGCAGAACGCCATGTTTCAGAAACACAGCAATAGGCAGGGGAAGTGAACGCCTCATGAAAAAGCTCCAATCTACCTGGTTTTTAAACGGTACATAGACATGTTTCTGATCCACTGGATCCAGTTGGACTTTTGGAAACACTTTGTTGTCTCCACTGGTTCTGTAGAGGATGTGTGGACAGGAGGGCTGAAACTTCCTGTCCACAGAAAGCTGGAAACAACAACAGTGATGTTAGAGGATGTATCCAGGAGATGGGGTTGGATGATGGATGAATTAAATGACCTACGATGAATATAATAGCATAAAGTGACATGCAGAAATTCACAGAAATGGGAAAACCTGTTACAGAACAATTGATCACATACATGACAAATCTGACTATTTTTGGGAAACAAGACTTGAATTGCAGAAAATACAGCAAACCTGTGGAAGAAGGTTCTGTGGTCATATGAGACCAAAATGTAACTTTTTTTTTTCCAAATATATTTTATTGAATTTTCTCTTTTTTGGCACAACAAATTCACACACAACAAACTTAACATTATAACATGTACTTATACACTCTTGCATTCACTCCCACACTCACCCTTCAAACCTGCATTTGTTTGGTTCCAAAAATATCAAGAACTTTTTAAATTAGAGAAAAAAGACAAAGAAGAATAACAGAACAATATCTGAATAGAAACAGTAGACAAGACATCCATTAATAAGTTCCACCTTCAGTCCCTATGGTCTTCATATATGGCTCCCAGAGATTTTCAAAGTCCTGTTGTTTACCCTTTGCGATCTATGTTAGTTTTTCCAGTCCGAGCGAATTTGCAATTTCCTTCTTCCAGAGTCCCAGGGAGGGTGCGTCCATGCCCCTCCAGCATAATGCTATAGATCTTCTGGCTTGAAGAAGTCCATAGTCTATCAATTTAGTTTTCCTCTGTGATTGTTTAAATTCCACTGGGTATATTCCTAGAACACAGGTTTTAACCTCCAATGGGACTTTCACCTTAAACAAGTCAGATAGACACCCAATAACATCCCTCCAAAACTTCTGAATTTTAAGACAATCCCACAAACAATGGAGAAGCGTTCCTTTTTCAAACAAACATTTAGGGCAAGTATCTGGAATATCACTGGACATATGATGAAGCTTAACTGGTGTTACGTAGGTTCTCATGAGCCATTTATATTGCAAAAGTTTAAATCGTGTGTTTATCGTTTGTTTTTGTGCTTTTAAACAGGCCTGGTTCCAGTCTTCCTCATCTATATCTTCGAAAGTATCTCTTCTCCAAGCGTCTAACTTATCTATTGCTGAGTCCTTAGAGGAAAGCATTAACAAATTATAGAACACAGAAAGAAAACCTTTCCCTTTTGAGTCTCCAACACACACCTCTTCTATTTTCGTTAAGGGTGGAATGTCAACTGTTTGTTTCAGTTTTGATGACATAAAGTTTTTCAATTGCAAGTATTTAAAAAAATGTTTCGGGGGTATTAAATACTTCTTACATAACTGATCAAAAGTAAGTAACTTGCCATCAACATATAGATCTTTAATTTTCTGAATGCCTTTATTTTTCCATAGTTTAAATCCTCCATCATTTTTTCCTGGTGTGAACCTTTCATTACCCCATATAGGGGTAAATTGTGATAACTCTAGTCGCTCAGCAACATGTTTATGTGCTGCATGCCAGTTTGTAATCGTATTTTTAAAAAAAAGATTTTTTGTGGTCTTTTTTAATGTCTTTAGATCCGAAGAATATAGAAAGGTATTTAAGGGGAAATCTGGAACAGATTGTTGTTCAATGTCTACCCAGGCTGGAGGTGCCATCGGGCAAAAGTAATGGGTAGCTGATGTTGGTTGGGCGGCCATATAATACCATCTGAGAAGAGGGACTTGAAGTCCACCTCTTTCATAGGGCAGATAAGAGTAGTTTTAAACGGAGTCTTGCTTTTCTGTTACTCCAAATAAATTGATTAAATAGTTTGTCCAGACTGTCATAAAATGACTCTGACAGCGGCAATGGAAGTGTTTGGAAATAATACAAAAATTTGGGCAAGATTGTCATTTTTAATAAATTTATTCGGCCTATCATGGATATAGGCAGGTTTGACCATCTATTTAGCATTTCTGTGACTTTTTCCACAAGGGGATTATAATTTGTTGTGATTATTTCATTAAGAGATGGGGTGACCTTAATGCCCAAATATGTAAAACCTATTGTTGTTGTTTTAAATGGGGTAGTCACAATAGGACTTCTCCTTTCTTCTTCATTAAGAAACATTAACTCTGATTTAGAATTATTAATTGTATATCCTGAAAATTCACCAAATTCTTTTATTAGATGTAATAATTTAGGAATACTGATTTTCAGATTACTCAAGAAAAATATGATATCATCCACGAACAGGGAAATGAGATGATCTCTTCCTCCAATTCGAATACCGGATATTCCTGAATTTGCTCTAACAGCCATCGCCAGAGGTTCTATTGCCAATACAAAAAGTAGTGGTGACAGGGGGCAACCCTGTCTAGTTGACCGTTGTAGATTAAAAGGTTTTGACATGTTATTATTAGTTAAAACTTGTGCTATGGGATCAGTATATAATAGTCGTATCCATTTTGAAAGCTTTCACCAAATCCATATTTGGGGAGCACTTCAAACAGATAATCCCACTCTATTCTATCAAAAGCTTGACGTGCGTCCAATGATAACATTGTTGTGTCTTTACAATTATGTTTTTCATGCAATACATTAAGGACCCGTCTTATATTATGGTAGCCTTGTCTTGTTTTAATAAATCCTTGCTGATCATCTACTATTAAACTGGGCAGGTACTTATCTAATCTCCTAGAGAGGGCTTTACACAAAATCTTTGTATCACATCCCATAAGACTGATTCCTCTACAAGAGGAGCATTCAGTGGAGGGTATATTTGGTTTTAGCAAGAGAGTTATTGTAGCTAACCTCAGTGAGTCAAAATGTAACTTTTTGACCTTTGAACAAAACGTTATCAGTGACAAAAACTCCCATCTTCCTCTTGGCAGACATAGTGGTGGCAGAATCATGTTATGGTGGGAGTTAGTGGGAATATGGAGGAAGCTGATTACAGGGGGATCCTGAAGGAAAACCTACTAGAGATTAAAATGTATTTTTAAATAGTTGATTTTGAGTAGTACATTTTAAAGCTTACTACATACATCCCAGTCTGATCTAATGTCAACACAACCCCAACACCTGTGGATTAAATGTTATCAAAGGCCATGTGGTTTTATTTATACACCACATTTGTGTCTGTTAAATTTTTATACTTAAAAAAAAAACAGAAAAACAAATATGTAAATATTGCTTGTCAACTGTTAGAGAAAACAAATTCAACAGTTTTAACTGTGATATTGATATGATTTACAAAAGCTGAAACCAAATTCAGTGTTTAATGTTACTTATTTTGCTAAAACATATTTAGCCCCTCAGTTGTTAGTTTTCTACCCACCTTGATGATCTGTCCATCTGCTGTTCCAATGAAGAAAACCATCCAGCCGTTCAGCCGGACAGTCAGAACAGAACTCATGAGGTTCTGCTTAAAAAGCACAGCCTTTGGTTTCAGGAGAACCGACTGAGGAACAGAGAGAATCGGTTCAACATTTTGTCTTTTCAAACCAAGGAAAGATGTATAGTTTTATAAATGGCAACACAGAATGTCTGGAACAACTTTCAATAAGTTGGCTTTAAATGTTTGTATTTCAGATATAAATATAAACAAAACTATAAACAACAATACACACATTGCCACAGATCATATGATAAAATGTTTTTATATTTCTCAAACTGAACACAACAAAGTTAAAGTGATTTAAAAGAGAAAAAAAAGTGAATAATACACAAAACCTGCCAACCTTTATATTTTTTCAATAGAAATCATTCAACATTTATTAAATTTATTGCCTCAGTTCATACATGTAAAATGCTGCTGGAGATTCTCAGTCATCCAGGACTGAGTTAAATATCAAAGCATGTTAACCATAAATATTCAAAGATTATGTTTAACACAGTAACTTACCGAGGTCTTTGTACTTTTTGATGTGTAAAAAAAGTCTGGATCTTTATTCATCTCCCTGTTGAAATCAGGACTGATGTCAAACAGCAGCAGCTCAGTGTTGCTTTCTCCTCCGTCCACACTGAACACTCCACTCCACAGGACCTGCTGTCCACCTGGGACGACCGAGGACGCCAGCAGTCTGCTGTCTTCACCTCCAGAGGAACTGAGAGTCGCTCCATGAAGAGACTCCAGAGTCTGAGTTTTACTGGTTTCAGCCTGAAGCCAGATCAGACGGACTTTGTTGCTTTTACCTCCTGATGCCACGTTGGAGAACAGATACACTGTTGAGTTTATCTGGAATCCGTCCACAAACTCTACTGCAGCTTCAGTTTGGATCCCAGGTTTATCACCTGATTGACCAGACCAGGAAAATATTTCCCCAAGCTGGTTTTGATTGGTGTTTTGAAGGTTGATTGTCTTTAAATCAGCGCTACACTCTGTCTTGAGTCTAGGATTCTTTATCGCTGTCAGGATGTAAGTCTCAGTCTGACCTGAATCCTCCTTCACATCCACCAGAAAGCTGACAGAACCACTGCTGCTTCTCTGAGGTCCCACCTGGATGGATTCACTGTAAACCAGCTTGGAGATGTTCTTCAGGTCCAGAATCTCACAGAAACCACAGAGTTTGTTTCCAGTCACACCACAGCTGATCAATGTGTCATTTTTCTCAAATGGTAAAAAAACATTCACTTTGAAAGTTGCATTCCAGGCAGTCTTCATTGGGTTTCTGTAAAACTCCTCTTCATCCAGTTGGTCCCCACTCTTTAAGGTCCCTCTCTGGGTCAGGCTGTAGATCAGAGTCAGGTCATGGCTCAGCTGGTAAAGTTTCTCCTCTGTAGCGATGTAGACAGAGCTGTTGCCCACAGCGAGCTGACGGAGGTCACCTTCAAAGTTAAAACCTCTGTTCTCCTCCAGACACTGAGCAGGTTCTCCCCAGATGGAGCAAAGCAGACCGAGAAGAAAACAGATCATCTTGTACCAAAGACCGACTGAGACAATGAGACATTGATGGACTGCAGGACACTGTGGTGTCTGTGTCCAGAGGTGTGCGTAAATGCGCTGCTAAAAGAAGAAGTGAAAAAATTGGAAGGAAATGAGCGAAACCGGAAATAAAAACAGCACATAATTTACAAAGGTTTTAGTAACCATGTTGTGTGTCTACGCAAATGAATTTACCTGGTCCATTCGCTTAAAGCGAGTAAAGCTCCGAAATAAAACAAATCCATCGCCGTAATTTTTCAGCGTTGATGCGGCATCACAGTCAATCTGCACAGAAAAAGATGAAAAAGGACAATTATTTAGTCTGCAAATCAACGTTAAAGTCACCTTTAAGATTGTATCTTTACGTCCCTGCTTAAAGCCATTTAGTGTTTGGGGAGAATTACAATAATAGCAGCAGTAAATGTTAAATCCTCTATTTTACTGAAAAAGAGGAAGGACTGGATTGATTAGCATGCAAGTATAAAAACACAGATTCATAAATATACAGTCTTCTTAAGATAAAAGGTATCAGGCATAAAAACACACAAGGAAATATTAAGAGTTTCTTTTTATTATAAAAAATTAAATATCACATTAAGTTTGATTTAGTAAATGAAGCCTATCGTTTCTGCACCTGAGCAATAAATGTGCTGATAATTTAGTTCAGGGATTGAGATGTAATTTCAGTCTTGAGCTGACACATCACACAGTGCAGCAAAATGATTTCGTGAATCTCATAATGTAACTTTTTCCAACGTCGTAACACAAACATATAATAAACATAAATAAAATAGCACAGACAGGCGCATTAGTTGGTGTTGGTAAATATAATGATCAGATCTACAACCAGCCGTAGATGGGTGGCTGTATGATATTTTCCTTTTAAATATATGCATATATAAACGTCTGTCACTTTGTACTATAGTTTCTGTCCTCTACTGAACTAAAAGTTAGTTTAACACAACAGACATCTTATTTAGAAGGTGGCTGACATATACAACTAACCTTAGTTTAATTGTAAAACATTCAAACACAAGCACAATAAAATAAACATACCAAACACTTTATAGACAATTCCACCAATTAACAGCTGTTATGTCCTTTATTCATCCGTGTGATTTAACATTGTAAATCAGCTTATTTCTTTAACCACGTAAGCTAACAAACATGCTAGCAGCTAGCCATAACGGTTCGGCTGTAGAGACTGAACTATCTCATTTGATTTACTCACCTTTTGTTCTTCCATTAGTGCAATGGACGCTTCTGGTACTCTTCCGGCACGTAAAAAGTCGCTTAAATCAGACATTTTCTCCAGAACATTGGCTGTCCGCCACAACTCGCGTCTGTATGGTTGCTGCTGGCGCCCATCAGTCCGAATTATGATTTGTTTTTTTCCTGTGCCACAATTTTTTTTAACCTTTTCTGAGCCACTGAAAAAAAATTCTGACATTTTTTTTCAGTGGCCCTAATCCTCTTTCGTAGCAAACCGACAGAACACGGTCCATCATCCAATAGTCCCAAACGACTTATTCTAAAAGTCTATGAGTATTTATGAAGTCGAGTCGAAACGTTGTCTCCACATAAAGGGATGAGTTTTGATCCATTTTATGAAAACAAACGCCCTCTAGCGTCGGGAAGTTGTCATTACTGCCACCAAAACGACTCCTACCGAAGCCTTACGAGTTACGACCCATTCGGTAGGCGGAGAAATGCCTTTTTACTTCCCCGGCAGATTACCTGATGAAAGAACATCTTGTTCATGCGCAGGACCTTCAAGGTTCATCCATGATGTTTTGGGAACTATCCTGGGTGAACCTCACTGCATGACCGCATGACAGATACAACAAGCATCCATTTAACTTACAGTGCTACTTATTTTCACTAACTTTGAAGATATGCATCCAACAGCAGGACATCCAGCAGCAGCTGCTGGAGCTGCTAAAAATAATTTGTTACTTTCTTTTAATGTGTACGCGCTAAACAAAAATAAATCAAATGCAATGCTAGATATTTCTTAGGAAGTTAGGAATTATGACAAGTTCATAATCGCCGTAAAGCCAGACTGGAAGGAGTCAAAGCGGTTGGTTATTGTTAGTCAGTTATTTAATTGTTTAAACAGCTTTTTCAATAACTTTGCTGATGAATGGGAGGTTGGAGATCGGCCTGTAATTCTGCAGTAGTGATTTGTCCAGGTTGTTCTTTTGTTTTATCAGTGGTTTGATTAGCCTGGGGGAAAAAGCCCGATGAGAGTGATGATGAGTTTACTATTTGGATCAGGTCATTAGCAATGACAGGCAGGACTTTCTTAAAGAAATGTGTGGGTAGGACATCCAGACAGCAGGAACTTGGCCTTAATTGACAAATAATTTCTTCTAAGGTTTTATAATTAAGTACAGTACTTGAAATTAGGTCATCTTTCCTGTATTTGTTTTGTTCGGACACAGCATTTGTACTGGATTTAGAGTGGATGTGAAGATTAATCCTCAGATTTCTTTTTCTCTGAATAGAAACTGAAAAACTTATTGCAGGAGGCATTAGATTGAAATTCAGGTGGTATATTTGTCAATGATGTGATTTTTCTTCTGCCCACCATATTTCGGTAAACGTTTGACTTTTTTAGCAATTTGCTTATAGCCAACATGGTTCTTCATGTGAATGATCACTTTTTCCTGTTCGTGTCACATAACTTAAGAATAGATTGCGAGAATTGTGCCAAAATAATTACATCTTGTTAATGTGGTCTGACTCAAAAGGTCAGTTTTGGATAGATATATAACGATTGTGCATTTCTTTCACTATCTAGTGGAAATCAATCGGACAGATATTCAAGATTAAAATTGTGATATAATATAAGTTACAGCACAAGATGGCGTTGTTCAACAGGGTTATGCTTTTTCCTGCAATGGCCTTTAAAGTACTACAAGCCAATTCAATAACCATGAAGTCACATCAGGAAAAAAACATCCCCAATTCCTCCTCTTTAATTGAGTAACAGATCCAGACATGGATACAGCACACTGTATTGCCTCCATATTTAGTTACTTTTATTGAATTGATCAATTTCATCAAATGATAAAACCAGTATTGAGATTTGAACAATTTCCAATTGTGAGGAAGACTGAGCATAAAGGCAGGCTTGGGTTATTAAAGACGTTAGCGTTTAATTACCAACTCTGTTCATTTAAAATAACTACCAGCAGTAATGGAGCAAAGCAACAGAAGAACAAGAAGTCATTGTAGACTTATGCTATTACACTATTCTTCACCAAGAAAAACTGTAAAGGTTGAAAATTTATACTATTTGCAAATAGTGTAAATTTTCAGCATTCTATGAGAATATTTACAGACATTAAAATAATTCATAATGAAAAATGAAAGCACTCACCAATTTTTCCTCCACATTTGACTGAAAATCCTCAACACTAGTAATTATTTTTAAGTTTGGAAATTCAGTAAAAACCTTTTAAAATAAACCTGTCTATAAGCACACAGATTTCTAGCATTCTTTGTTATTTTAATCCTCATAATGTCTAATGGAGTGTTGATTTCTAACCTTATATTTTCTCAAACCAAAACAATGGCAACTTTGTTTTCTTCACTAAACTGCAGCAATTTCTGGTCCATCCACTCATGGAAATCAACACGCTGACTGCAAGGCACAGTGGTCATGTGTTGACAGTCATGTAGAGCTGTGTCAATTGTCATAGTGATACAAATTATATGACTTTCTGGAGATTGTATTTGTACAGCTAGTGCTTTCAGTGACTTTTCTTAAAGCAGTTCAACAGTCCCAGGTGCACTGTTCAGTCATTTAGTTCACTTACAGTTCAGGGTGGATATATTAAGATGATACAAAAGGATGTTAGAAGATTCTGTAACATTTAAAAATGTAAAGACAAAGCAAAGATCATAATGTACCCATTCTCAGGCTGTACTTATTCTCAATGATCCTCTGGCTGGTCAGTAATCAAAGCTTGTTTGTCTCTTTTTCCGCTGACAGAAAATCACCAGCACTGAAAGAAAATCATGTTTTAATTGGAACCATAAAACTTCATCAATAACATGGAACACAAAAGCAATAGTTCATATCCCACTCTGATTAATATTTGATTCATTAAATTTACATAGGAAAAAAAGTGAAAATAGAGAAATGCATTCTGGAATAATTAGCCATTAAACTCATTTAGAAAACTTACCAGTGAGAATAGAGCATTTGAGAAGAAAATGTAGAATCAAAAGGCCAAGATGCAATGCAGTCAGAGTCTGCATCCACACAGTTGTGTCACCATATTTAATCTGGAATCAAATTTAAAAACTGTTACTTATTGGTCATTAGAAAATATTTATGAGTATTGAGGTAAATTTCTGACAGTAACTATGAAAAAATATTTTTTTTGTATATTTTATTGTTACACAAAGTTGTTTGGTTCTACGCAGTAACAACATTCTTGCAAGAGGAGAATAAAAAAGGTTCTGAGTTACAACTTAAAGAAACGCACAATCGTTATATCTGTATCCGAATCTGACCTTTTGAGTCAGACCACATTACCAAGATGGAATTATTTTTGGCATAATTCTCGCAATCTATTCTCAAGTTATGTGACACAAACAGGGAAAAGTGATCATTCACATGAAGAAACATGTCAGCATCTAGTCTGTTTTGAATTCACTGATTAATTCTATTGCTTTAACCTTTGCTATAAACTGTACTTTAAAATGTTGGTCAAGATTAGCAACAAAAAAAGATCTACAAGGATTCATTTTAAAATTTCACTATTTGCAAGTTCATGAAAAAAAGTTGCATTGGAATTTAAAATGGCAGCTATTCAATGCTTGATGGTTATATTAGCAGAACTATTATGCTTAACTGTTATGTTACATTGTGGCACTTTAACATCTGGCTCTTATAGGTTTTTTCCAGAGAGAATTTTTGGGAGATGATTGTATCTTTTCCATCAACGTCTTTGCTCCTCTGTTCAAACCCAATTATTTTCTTTCACCCAATTAATCAGTAGGCAAAAGAAAATCATAATCCCCCCCAAAATAACTGAACAAACATGAACACATAACCAGACCAATGAAGTGCAAAAAACCCCTGCTAAATTACAACCAAATACTAAAAATAACTTACCTTTATAGACCTGAAGTTAGCATTGTTAACTCCTTGAATGTCACAGACAAAGGAGTCTGTTTTGTTATGGTTTTCTTTGATTTTGACACAGGGATGTTGTTTTTCACCCTCAATACCCCACACTGACAACTCTGCTGCTGTTATCTCCAGTTTATCTGAACTTTTCTGAAACGAAACAGAAGCAAACTGTAAACTTTTAGAAACTCATGTCACCTTTTGGGCAATTCTTCAAAAATACGTACGTGAAGAAGAATACGGGTATCATTTCCCTGCCTCTCTGTAGTGAAGCTGGTAAACTCTGGATCAGGATAGTACGTTAGTTTGACCAAACAGGCCACTGTTTGATTGGCAACTTTCATAAAAACGGTGCTGCAGGAAATCTGACTGTTTTCTGTTGTCGGCGTATCATAGCTGAGAGTCTGCAAATTATTTCAAAAATGTCAAGTCAAAGAGATTTTATGTCAAAACATTTAAAATAGTCAGAATACATGTCATGTAACATTGCATCTTTTCAGCCACAAACACTTCATTCTCCCATCCTTCAAGTAATGTAGCATCTCTTCTGGTGTGCACTAAGGCTCAGTGTTACATTCATTATTTAACCGTTTCAACTATACAGATATGTGAATATGTATTCCTCTTATTCCAGAAAAACAATAATAATTTTACTGTTATGCAAAGGATACTCAATTCTGTAGCCCCAAAACATTTTCACCCATTCACCTCTGACCATATGTAAGAGAGTTTTTATCATGGCAGCTACTGATATTTAGCAGTATCAGCATTCACCTCTTTGCGAATGCTGTTTATTTTCCCCTCTGTGTTTTATCATCACAATTGTTTTATATCATATGCAATTTGGTCTTGGATTCCAAATGGTGCCTTTAAAAATATATTCACCACAGACAGTTTGCAGAACTACCTCCTGACTGCTGCTGTTCCTGGGAAGCAACACTTGTTGCTGGGCGTGGCTCTGCGTCAGCCCATCCACAAACTCCAGGTGTGTCCCGATGAGCTTGACCTTCCTCTTCCCACTGCAGCAGTCAGATTAGAGGACATACAGTATGATATACAGAGAAGATGTTGTTTACTTATCACTTTACTAGCACATCCACTGCCTTATTCCTCATAAAATGCTACGTCCTGCTGCATTCAGATGCTGACAGGCAATGTCATGCACTTACAGCCAACTGAATAAAAACAGACATGCTTCAAAGTGTTCAAAAGGCAAATTAAACATGGATAAAACACTAAGCATCACAACCCGTATATTACTGCTCTGTTGAACAAAAAACACAAAACTAAAATTAAAAAAATTAAAAATCGCAGGAGAAGATTAAAGTTCTCTCCCAAACATGTCAGTGCAAACAATTTCAGAGTGAGATTCATTACTGGGAACATAAGCAGACAAATAAGAGATAAGTCACTAAAAAGAGCTGATTCACTTACATTTATAGGAGATTTTCACAGGCAAGTTGTAGCTTTAGAACAACAGGTAACTACTGTAATGGAATGACCAGCTTTGTAAAAAAAAAAAAAAAAAAAAAGCAACAACAAAACCCCCCCAGTAACTTTAATTTTTGAAAATTGGAGTGGTCCATTTCTTTTTAGTAGCTTAGTGGTAAAAATCAACGTATCAAGGAATATAACTGAATCATAAAAGCTGTCATGTCTCTTGAGAGTGCTTACCACATATCTTCTGATCAAAGGAAATGTGATTGTTGAAGTTTCTGCAGCTACAAGTACGATTGTAGTCAGAAATTTCTTTGAGGAAGTGACTCCTTCACACCTTATACTTGTAACTGACACAATGTAGCATGTCGATAAACAAGATGTTGCCAAAAAATGAGTACAAGCTGTGAATGACTTGCTACATCAATTATAATCGTATGTTCAATCTATGACCACTAATAGTTGTATCATTCTAGTATCTGCTTGGAGCCACTTTGCCTTCATGTCTCGAGTCTTTCTAGCATCAACTCAAAAAGGTGTTGGAAACCTCTCAGAGACTCTGGTTCATATTGACACGACAGCATAACTCAGTCACTGTAGAACTGTCAACAACACATCCAAGATAATCAATCATTCCACATCCCAAAAGTGCTTTTGATAAAAATCTGAAGCCTGAGGAATCCACTGGAGTACAGTGACCTCATGGTCTTGTTTGTTAAACCAGTTGGAGATGACCTGAGCTTTGTGACGTGGCGCATTGTCCTGCCACGACGTACATACAGATGTTGAACACCCTGTGGTCATAAATGGACTGACTCTGTAGCATTTTCTAGTACCAGTGAGAACTCAAACTAGAGTAACTTTAATTGGACAATTAAAGGTTTCCATCTGTAGGTGATGGAAACTTTTACAGGAATGTTCAAATACCTCCTCCAGCTGCTCCGAGGTACTATGTCAGTGCAGACTGGTGATGACGTATAGGTGATTGTGGTGTTTCCATGGCAACTGCCATCAGGCAGAAGAACGCACACTTTGATCACTCTTCTAGTTTCAGTGGCGGGGATGTGAAAGGTCAAACTGACACCAGTGTTGTTCCACACAGGAAGTCTGTCCAGAAAAGATAAGAAACCACATAAAGAGCAAGATAGAAAGAGTTAAACTGAAACAATAAGATATGATAAAACTAAAAGGCTGACAGAGAAATTTTCTACTTGTCTGCATTTTTAAAGAAATTTAAAACAGCCACTGTAGCTTTCAATTACGGTAGCTTTTTTTTTTTCTATACAGAATCTGTAGGAAAGCCTTCCTATGTTCTCGTTCCACCTTTTCAGGTCTTCCTTTCTGCCCATAATTTATACATATTTTTTTACACCTTGCAATGAGTTGTAAGTTGAAGACAGGACCGGAAACTCCACATTCCAGTCAGATGTAAAAAGACATCCCATTTACTTGGCATGTAGTAAATGTTAGAAGTGCCTACAGCGTAAGACTTTAAAGATAGATTGTCGGTGGTTGTCATGTAACAGCATCATAAGGAAATGGGTACAGTTATTGTGGTGACTGCGAAAGAGCAATCACCACTGCCACCACTGCCATTTACATAAATATCTCTCTGTTCATTTGTTAATTGTCAGTATACTCCCTTTTTATGTTAGACATTTGAATTTTGACTGAACTTCAGAAACAAAATGTGCATTTCATTTATTTAAAGTAAATGATCAAATTGACTATAAATGGTGGTGGCTAATAGGACATAGATTTTGGAGGGTTTAAGAAAAAGAAGCTTGGAATACCAAGCACAGCAAATTTGGGGGATTCTATAGTTTTGATTGATCAAAATCAATAAAAATGAGAGATGCTGTCAAAGTTTTCAGTTGCTGCCGATGAAGTTAGTCAGAGTGCATCTGCGGTTTGATGCGGTTTAAACACCAACGCAGATGTCCTGACACTTGCTGAGTGTCAGGACTTCCTGACACTCAGCTTATATGTTCACATATAAGCGTGAACATATAGGTTCACACTTATATGAAACCTCTTCTCTGTTTAGTGTTGGGTTTTCATTCTTGACACTTAAGCTTCTGTCTCAAAGCTTCCAGGCCACTTTCTTCTCAAGTTTTTGTCCTTGAGAAGCAGATGAATTGTTTTATGTTCCTGAGAAAGATGTTTGATTTGAAAGTCTTTGGGCTCTTGTGCTTGTAGAAAAAGTGTACCATGTATTTACCTGTTTGCAAATGTTCTCAGTATAACAATGTGGGAGGGTTGAAAACTATTAGCTAAGTAGTCAATACTAGGAAAAACATAAATATTTATGAGCTACTGTTTGGTTATGGATCTGTGAGTTGTGTACTCCACATCTCACCAGTCCGCCGCTGGATCAGGAGAGCTAACTATGGTAAGGTTAAGGTCACTAGACTGACTCTGAAAACAAATGTTCATCTGGCAAATTATTTCCTTCATCAGTTTACATAGATACATTCTGCGAGGCCTTAGTTTTCTGTTGAGTGACTCACTCCTGTGGACTACAGTCCATGTGCGTCGAGACTCTCACTCCGATCACGTCGCTCAGGTTGTGGCCTGACAACAAAGCGTGGTTTTTCCCATACAAAGACACAACACTAGGTGTAACGGAGATGACATCTGGTATCTGACAGGAAAACAAAATATATTTATCATTCATCCATTATGCTTATTTGATAACATCCTGAATTATTTTAATACAAATTTCCCAAAAATCCATTCTACAGCTTTTAGATGAGTCAAATTATTCGACTAGCAGAACAAGACCGCATGCTGAGGAGCTCATTCATCCATTTTGTTTCAGGTGTGTGTGACCAGGAATGCATCTAAACCTTACAACTACTCAAAAGGAAAACGTCTGAGAAATTTGATTTTGGATGAGAGTTAAGAAAAATGTGCATTCATTTTGATTCACTCACAGAAATGTTAATCCCAGCTTCCATCTCAAGGCAAATGTCCTCCTGGGTCTGCGCAGAAGATTTTCAAATAAATAAACAATGTTGTGCTGGTCAGGTTTACTACTGATTTGTATAAGACTGACTATGATGGTCATGACAGTAAACAATAGCATTAAAAAGTCTATATTTGACAAGTGCAGGTTGATTTTTACATTGTAAGTAAGTTCACTGGTCCAGGAACAGCTGTCCTCCATCCACTGGCAGCCAGATCTGATACACTGTCGGCACCTGAAGAGAAAAACAAATCAAACTGGCTCTCAACACAGCTTTTGGAAAACATTAACACCACATATTTGTTGAAACAGATTATGTTAAATGCAAGAGCAGAGGCATTCTCCCCGAAGGAAAACTGGCTGAGCTACAGGTGCATCATCAACCGTCCACTGCTGAAGGACAGTGGAAAACTCAGAGAAAACCTGTTAATGCAAGGAGAAGACAAGCAAACGTCTGATTTGAGATGAGACGTTCTCAAATGAGAACTAAATAAAGTTGGTATGGTATGAGATTTGTACCAACAGCCTTCTTGTCATTATTTAAAAGCAACAACAACAAAACAACGACGAGTTTAGCTTTTGGAGCATATAAATGAACTTACAGATGAATAGTTGAACAGTTGATTAGTTTTCTTTGTTCTGTCAGCTCAAATTTCCCAACGTTGATCTTTATGGTGACATCCAGGTCTGTGAATTATGACAGTTTTACAAAACTTCCTTTAAGAAAGCAATAATTCATTTTTTTTTAAAGCAAAGAATTTCTAAACTTGAGCAACATAATTGAAATACTATGTTATGAATCTGTGTTTTCTTGAGACAAAGGAACCTTTAAATTTGCAGAGGACACATTGAAAGATATGATCATTTAAACAGATTTCACTGAAAGAAGAAAAAGTAAATCTGAACCTTAAAGATCAATAAAATATGCTGCCACAGAACTGAAAAACAAAGGATGACTTTTGAAATATCAAACCTGATCAACTTTTCTGCCATATTACATTTAATAAGTCAGAAGCAGTAAATGACATTTTCCAAATTATCAGTTTTTGTCTTTAGTTTTTACTTTACTAGAAAGAACTGTCCTTCATATATTCTGCATGATCAGATTATTACATTACTTTGATCCTTTAATAAAAGCTGATTACCATCAGTAATAAGAGTGTCGATAAGGATGCATGTGCACTGAGGGAACTGTGCTGAAAGCCCCTGTTGCCTACAAATCTGACTAGAATTTGAGGAGAATTCACAGGTGAAGTTTGACTGAACCTTCTGCTGCACAGTCAGGTGAGTCTGGATCAATACTTTGATCTGAGAAAGACAGGAATACAGAAGAATAATATCATCTAAAAGAAAACTGAAACGTAAATGCATTCAGTCAGAGTGTTAGAAACAAACCATTCCACTGGAAACCTTCACAACTCGGAGGGAAATCATTTCCTGTTGGGCCTCATCAGGGATGGACAACCACTCTGAATCTGTGCAGTGGTCCTCAAATGTACAGCTGAAAAAGTGCAAATGAAGAGTTAGAAAGTTCAGAAACGTGTGAAGGATTTAGTGAAGAGAAGTTCCTGACCTGTCTTCAGACACACACCACACACAGAGGGGATCCCGTGCCGCCAGACAAGCCCTCACGTTTCTGTGAGTGCTACACCTCGACACTGGAACACGCTCAATCTGGAACAAAAACACACTGAGCATCCGAAAACGCAGTGCAGGCGCATTTCATGAAATATACATGAGAAAAAAATAAATAAGTAAAACACTAACCTTGTTTTTAAACTGCAAATACACATGATTCTGATCCACTTGATCCAGATGGATTTTGGGAAACACTTTGCGCTTTTCACTCTCTCTGTAGAGAACCTCTGGACAGCTGGGCTTAAAATTCCTGTCTACAACAAGCTGACGACAGTATAGATCATAGTCACAGTATTTATGGGAAAAATAGGCACTGAGCATGTCAAAGTTATATTTCAGCAAAAATAGTTTCCACACGGATCGATACTTGATACCACCTTTTTCTCTGTTTATATTAATGTAGCAAATTCAACCTGGACAGACTCACACAGGACAAGTTGCAGTTATAATATCTTCCTGACATAAAATTCATTAAGGTTTTGGCGCTCTGACTCTAGCAGTATACATGGGTGCTGTGAATTTACTGTATATAAGCTTGTGATGAGGATTTGAGACACAGATCTGTGCTCTGTTGGCCCATCTCTCAAGTAGAGTTTAGCAACAACTCCTGCTTGGTTTTAGTAAAATCCAACAGGATATTTCCAGATTGCATCTTCGGTTAAATACTCCCAAGTCAGTGTTTCTCAATTACATTCTGTTATGCTCCCTCCTAGGGATCATAAATTTTTGTCCACATGTCTCCCCAGTTGAAATACCATTGAGAATCTGATAATATTTAATGATTTATCTATACAAACCACTCTCCATCCTATGACCTGATTAGCAAAAACACTTAATAACATGAGTTATACAAATGCTTCATATATCAAACATGAAATGTGACTTTGCAGTTTAACACCTGTTTGTCTTTAAAAATGAACTCTGTATGTATTTTGTGCACATGCTATGAAAGTCCACCTGTTATGTGTGTTTTCCATGTTGGAAATTTCTAGGAATATGAACAACAACAAGAAAAAAGAATAAACTCCCAAATGTACTTATTTGTGGCAGTAATGAAGACATTTAAATTCAAGTTTCTGTCAAAGTTGTTCCAGTCACATTCATTCACATTGTCCTCTAATTCGTATTTTTGTCCTACCGAAAAGTAAAGCAACCACTAGTTCCGAGCCACATTAAAATTGTGTCTGCGCACATAATAATGTATGCATTTCTCATTTAAATATTGCTAAAACGTTTTTCTAAAACCTGAAAAATATTACTATTCGTTAGCCATCGTTGGTGGTACTCAATAGTTGTCAGTAGTTTACAAAGCTGTCCAAGCTGTTGTAGCACATTGACGCTTGCTTTAAACGGAAGCTAGAAAAAAATGGAGAAGTGTTCAGAAGTTAAAACAGACACTAATGACAACTGGCTGCTTATTTCCTCTAAACTGATCTAGAAATGATATCAAACCCACACTCAAATGGAAAACTGTCAATGAGTCATGAAGCTTGTACGTACATTACTATTAGTAGCAATACTAGCTAGCAGCAGTTATTTCAAATATGATGATGCATCAGAGTGTCAGTATTTGCCAAGATGCTTCATCTTGAGCAGCACCAGTCTCTGTAAATATGGTTAGAATTCTAAAATCCTGAGTTTCTGTGCTTTGTTCTTAAAAACACGTTTTGCGTTTCCTTACCTGAACTATATAAAAAATGCATTCTGCATGTATTTTAAACATTATGCAATTAGATATTACACAAATTCTAATATCAAAATAATTATAATGAAACCTTGATTTCAGAAAACAGGGTTAACAAGCTCTGAGGAATAAACCTACCCAGCTCTGTCATACTCAGGCTTTTGGTTTCAGAACAGGAAATATTAATTGACTCAATTCTGAGTCAAGTTACCCCTGACCTGAGTTAAGTCTGGTCACAAGCATAGAAGGGAACCTCATCAACAGAGCGCAGATAACGTGATTCACCATGGCAAGGGAAGAAAATAAGAAGCCTGAAACGATTCTTTTCTCACCAATGGAATTAGAAATTTTGCTGACATAAGGAGAATATCAAAACATATTTCACAAAAAAAGCAATACTGTTGCAGCTTCAGAATAGCGAGAGTTAGTATGACAAAATCTAAATCAATGTGTGAATGTGATTTTGCAGAGAGTGAGTATCCTTGACGATACACTTATTTAATATTCAAGAAAGGAGGATAATTGTATTTGTCTGAATTAACATCTACTGTATTACGGACACCAAAAAGTATGAGTAGATTATGTCTGCAGTGTCAAAACATGACAGTTCTTTTATTAGTCTTGTGAGTCTGTAACTATAGGGAACCTTATTAAGCGTTGCTGCCTGTGGTTTTCAGATAGCATTTCTTTTTATAGTTTTGGTTTTTTTTTGTGATTTAATTGGCTGGACTCATACATTCATCTCCATGTTCCACACCTATACTGTATTTGAGATGTATGTCCAGGCTGCCTTCCTCCAACTGTGACGGGGCGATGGGCTTAAAATAAAATCCCAATTGTGAAAATTATATATATTTTATTTTTCTGTTCTTTCCAACAGAAGAGATTGACATCCTGTCATGTTAGAAGTGTCTTGCATTTAAGACTCTCACACATTTCATCACAATGTGTCCAAACTCCAAAGCCTTTTTAGTCAGGCTGTTGTGTATAGAGTTAGATTTATTTTTTGTAGGTGGAGAAAGAGAATCACAACAAACTCATTTTAAGGGCAGAAACTCATTTACACTGAAGCAAATTCCTCCTGTCTCCAGTAGTAGTGCAGTATTCAGTATTTTTCTACATACCTTCAAAAGCAAACCGTCTGCTGTTCCAATGAAAAACACCATCCAGGCCTTCTGTTTCGTCACCAAAACACAAGTCATGTCATTGTGTTTCAGAAGAACAACCTTTGGTTTTAGATTTGGCCCTGACTGAGAAAAAGAAACAGTGATTAGCTCTACAGTCTATGAATACCATCCACAGAAAGGTCAATGCAGTTAGAAAATAAATGTACTGTAATTGCTCAGAATCGATGTGTAGGGATGAGAAAAGCTTTTCTGGGAAACAAAGAGAAAAATGTCCTCATTTCATTGATGTCCATTTCATGGATATATTACTATAATAAAATTCTATTTTATTTTAGTAAAATGAACTGCTTTCATCTATGCCTTTTAGACAACATAATCAACAGTTGTTACAATTTACTATTACAATGTAATTTTATAGTAAATAAGAGCTTTACCATGTGTCTCTGGCAATGAAATGTCACAAAGAACTTTGAATAAATTATCATCAAGTTCAATTAGTGTTTACTCTTATACATTAATGAAAAATATGAAGTTTCATTGGAAGTTACTAACAATGAAAATGTGTCTTTGCTAATCAGGTAAAAAATATAAAAATATTATAAAACATAATTAGACAGAAAGAAACTTTGTGACTAATAAATGCCACACATTAGATCCAAAGCAAGAAACTTTTGGTCTCATGTCTTCCAAGCTAAGATAATGGAAATATTAATGCATAATGCTTTTAGATTGAACATTGTTGTTACGTTTTATCAATTCAATAATTTATTTGTCACAAAAGGAAATTTAATAGAACGTCCAAGATAACAATATATTCAATAGGACATAAAACTAATAACCTCACTTACAGAGGTCTCTGTATTTTTTGATGAGTAAAAAAAGTCTGGATCTTTATTCATCTCCCTGTTGAGATCAGGACTGATGTCAAACAGCAGCAGCTCAGTGTTGCTTTCTCCTCCGTCCACACTGAACACTCCACTCCACAGGACCTGCTGTCCACCTGGGACAACCGAGGACGCCAGCAGTCTGCTGTCTTCTCCTCCAGAGGAACTGAGAGTCGCTCCATGAAGAGACTCCAGAGTCTGAGTTTTACTGGTTTCAGCCTGAAGCCAGATCAGACGGACTTTGTTGCTTTTACCTCCTGATGCCACGTTGGAGAACAGATACACTGTTGAGTTGATCTGGAATCCGTCCACAAACTCTACTGCAGCTTCAGTTTGGATCCCAGGTTTATCAATAATTCACCAGACCAGGAAAATATTTCCCCAAGCTGGTTTTGATTGGTGTTTTGAAGGTTGATTGTCTTTAAATCAGCGCTACAGTCTGTCTTGAGTCTAGGATTTTTTATCGCTGTCAGGATGTAAGTCTCAGTCTGACCTGAATCCTCCTTCACATCCACCAGAAAGCTGACAGAACCACTGCTGCTTCTCTGAGGTCCGACCTGGATGGATTCACTGTAAACCAGCTTGGAGATGTTCTTCAGGTCCAGAATCTCACAATAACCACAGAGTTTGTTTCCAGTCACACCGCAGCTGATCAATGTGTCATTCCTGGCTAATGTAATTAAAATATTGACACTAAACCTTGCATTTAACAAATCCGTTTCTGAGATTTGATGAAACTCTGTATCACCCATCCCATTGTTGTCCTTGAGGATCCCTTTCTGTGTCAGGCTGTGCATCAGAGTCAGGTCATGGCTCAACTGGTACAGCTTCTCCTCTGTAGCGATGTAAACAGAGTTGGTGGCCACTGCGACCTGCTGAATGTTTCCCTCAAAACTGAAACTTCCATCTTCCTTGTGACTCCAAGCAGGTTCCACCCAGAAAGCACAAAGCAGACCAAGCAGCAGGAACATGTTGCCCCAAAAGATGGAGCTCTGACTGAGACACCGACACACTGCAGCACACTCAGATCTGTGGGCCTCTGCAGACACGAGAGCTAAAGCCCAAGGTGCTAAATGTGGGAGGAACTGAGCTCACAAAGCAGAACAACAAATTAAAATACATGGTTGCACAGCCTGTAAAGATTGTAGTACAAATATAGATCTATATCACAATGTTATTTTTATTTGTTACACATGGCAACTCAATGTGCATTTCTTTCAGCCCAAGTCTTACTTTCAGAAATATAGAATATAAGCAATTCTTGGTGTGTCGTATTTCTATTTGCCTTAATTTTGTCTCTGCCTTAATTTGGATTCACAACTTAAGGCGATGTGCGATGTATCTCAACTTTTGCCAAGAAATGGCAGATATTAAATTACTTTTGATAAAGTGCTAATTACAGTATGTCAGCAAACAGAGCATTGCTTTCCCAGCTATGGCAACAGTGCCATCTAGTGTTAAATCTCGGAAGTAAAATAAAATAAATTAAATAAATAAGTTAAAACGTACAATTTATCCCAAATGGGTTCAGTTCTCAAGTGTTTTCTTGTAACTGTTTGTCTATGGACAATGTCTAATGCCATAAAGAAAAACTCTTTTAAACATTGTAACTTTTCTTTTACGGTATATTAATAATTCATCCTCCTGAGTTCATTTTTTGTATTTTACGTACGACCTGCTAAGCTAGGCTACTAGGCTATGTTACCTCACCAAACTTAAATAGAAGGGGGAAAAAAAGAAAAAGAAAAAACCTTTGGAATAGTAACAATAAATACCAGGTTACTTACGTAGGAATTCAGCAAACCCATATAAGTGTATAGCTCTTTTTTTATTTATCTGTCACATGAAGAGAATTGCCTGATTAGGAAGTTCTTTTAAAATTAGGCTAACTCTGAGCAGCCTTTGATCTTCTTATGACGCAGTTTTTATTTCCTTGCCCGAGCTAACCTAGCATACAAAGTCAAACAGACATCTGAGAATATATAGGCTGCTGTAGACTTTTCCTCCAAACGATTTCTACACGAAATTCTAGAATACTTTTGTACTTAAAATATTGGAGAACCCTTCAAGCCATTAAATTCAGGGATATGTTTCCAGTTAGCAAGGACGTCAGTTTGCTGAGACTAACTAGCAAAGTAAAATATATTATTAATAAAAATGTACAAAACGGGTTCATGAACTCTTTATTGTTCATGAAGAGGACATGGGAAAAAAAGCTAACTCTGGGAAACTAAAGTCAGACACAACAAACAGAACTCGACATTCAAAGAGGGAATAAAATTCAGAAGAATGAACATGTCTGACAAGATGTCAGCAATAATGAAGACAGTAATAAGGTTAACGCAAAGAGGCTGGCTGCGGCCTTCATATGGGGGAATTTTACTGCCATAAGTCACAATTCCCAGTTAAAATTCCCCCATTCCTTCACTTTCATCAAAATAGCTGAAAGATGTTCTCCAAAAAAAAAAAAAGACCTCAATGTCTTGAGTTGATTTGGATTTAGAGCAACAGCGCCACCTTATGTCTTCTTCTTTTGTTGAATTTCTATCTTGTTCCTTATTTAGTGTGGGTTGGCAATCATCCAAGTTAGTATCACTGGTAATAAAACTGCTTGACTTGCACTGATCTGATCTATTTTGAGCTCTGTTGTTTTCTGATTCACAATCCGTACAAAACTTCTGTTGTATTTCTTTTTCCCAACACAGTTTAAACGTTTCTTGGATTGGAAGATCCTGTCTATATCCTCTTAAATCAGACCAATAATTCAATGTTTGTTGCTCTCTTCTAATTTTAAGTGGCATTTCTCCCATCTCTACCAATTATGATGCTGTTGGAATTGATCTAATTGCACATGTACAGAGTCCCAACACTTGATATATTGAATACAATTTCTCTTTTGTAAAGTAGTATCTGGAACTAAATGATAAACAATGCTTTCATAGACTGCCATCTTGTGTCTAATCAGGGAAGCTACTATATTCAGAAATTTGATAGGAGGAATATCTAAAAGCAAATGACACAACAGGAAAGTCACATTCGTTTGTTAAATGCCACTGTAGTGAAAAAATAAAATGTCACATTTACTTTAGATTCTTTAACAGCATTTCTCCAAACATCATCAGCTGGTTTACATTTTTTGAGCCTGAAACCAGTTGAGAGGAACTTTGTTTTGACTCTACATTTTCAAAGGTTCTTAAAGCACAGTGCTGCTAAATGAAAAAAATAAATACAACTGCATGTTGTAAACAAAGCAATTTTAGTTGCTGTATTTGATATGACTTGAAGCTGACTGCACACATGTCTGTGTTTTGTTTTCTTGATGCTCTTGGCTTAAAGACACAAATGTAATTGTCTGAAAACTCAGTCGTGGATCCATTTTGAATCACTTTCAGAGTGGGTCAGTACCTGAACCTGTGGTGTGCCTTCATTTCCTTCCGCTCTCAGTGCCTTTCAGCAAAGCTGCAGCACTTTTAGACACATCTTTGTAAGCACAGAGACCACAGTGTCAACCAGAAGATCTCAGAGCTGCATCCGTTGGTACAAGATGATCTATTTTCTGCTCGGTCTGCTTTGCTCCATCTGGGGAGAACCTGCTCAGTGTCTGGAGGAGAACAGAGGTTTTAACTTTGAAGATGACCTCCGTCAGCTCGCTGTGGGCAACAGCTCTGTCTACATCGCTACAGAGGAGAAACTTTACCAGCTGAGCCATGACCTGACTCTGATCTACAGCCTGACCCAGAGAGGGACCTTAAAGAGTGGGGACCAACCGGATAAAGAGGAGTTTTACAGAAACCCCATGAAGACTGCCTGGAATGCAACTTTAAAAGTTAATGTTTTTTTACCATTTGAGAAAAATGACACATTGATCAGCTGTGGTGTGACTGGAAACAAACTCTGTGGTTATTGTGAGATTCTGGACCTGAAGAACATCTCCAAGCTGGTTTACAGTGAATCCGTCCAGGTGGGACCTCAGAGAAGCAGCAGTGGTTCTGTCAGCTTTCTGGTGGATGTGAAGGAGGATTCAGGTCAGACTGAGACTTACATCCTGACAGCAATAAAGAACCCTAGACTCAAGACAGACTGTAGTGCTGATTTAAAGACAATCAACCTTCACAACACATATCACAGGCAGCCTGGGGAAATATTTTCCTGGTCTGATCAATCAGGTGATAAACCTGGGATCCAAACTGAAGCTGCAGTAGAGTTTGTGGACGGATTCCAGATCAACTCAACAGTGTATCTGTTCTCCAACGTGGCATCAGGAGGTAAAAGCAACAAAGTCCGTCTGATCTGGCTTCAGGCTGAAACCAGTAAAACTCAGACTCTGGAGTCTCTTCATGGAGCGACTCTCAGTTCCTCTGGAGGTGAAGACAGCAGACTGCTGGCGTCCTCGGTCGTCCCAGGTGGACAGCAGGTCCTGTGGAGTGGAGTGTTCAGTGTGGACGGAGGAGAAAGCAACACTGAGCTGCTGCTGTTTGACATCAGTCCTGATCTCAACAGGGAGATGGATAAAGATCCAGACTTTTTTTACACATCAAAAACTACAAAGACCTCGGTAAGTTACTGTGTTAAACATAATCTTTGAATATTTTTTTTTAATTAAATTTTACATACTGACATACATAGATTAACATAACAGATCAAATTCCCACCCATCCCTTACCCTCCCAAATCGGCACATCATAAAGCACTTACAAAGTCAAAACAACATAAGTACATCACAAAGTGAGTACAAGATCTCAACTGTGGCAGGTCTGTCATTAACAGTTTTTCATTGAAGGGATTTTAATACAGGATTCCATATTTTCTCAAACACACTGACTTTATCTTCATTGTAATATCTCAGTCTTTCCAGATGCAGAGTATTTGCTAGTTCCCCCAACCAGAGATCAAATGTGGGCACAGAGTCTTTTTTCCAAAATCTCAAAATCAACCTTTTGGCAATCACTGTACCAAATAAAACAGCCGTTTTCTCCTGCTTAGTGGCTGGTCGCAAAGCACTGGAGACCCCAATGATTGCAATAAGTGGTTCTGGGTCCCATTTCTTTCCAAAAGCTGTTGAAAAAAAATGAAAAATGTTCTTCCAAAATGAGTGAAGCTGAACACATGACCAGAAGGAGTGTGTCAAGTTACCAATGGCTGCCCAGCAGCGACTACAAACTGGAGACACGCTAGTAAAGAAAGTGCTCAGCTTCTCCCTCGAATAATGGAGTCTATGTAATGTTTTGAACTGTATGAGATTATGTCTGGCATTGACAGAACAGTCTTGCACACTTTTCAAACCCTCCTCCCATAATTCATCGGATAGCTGCTGCCCTAACTCATCCTCCCAGGCCTTTTTTATCTTGGTTGTGTCTACACGTACGTTATTAAAGATCTTATAAAAGTATGACACTGCCCCCCGATTGGCAGGATCAAATCTATTTATTTCCTCCAGGGTTTTATGTTTTGCTAGAGTTCCAAAATCCAAGACATTTTCCTAACATAGTCCCGAACCTGCAGATAACGGAAAAAAACTTGATGGGGGAAGATTATACTCAGAACATAACTGTGCAAAAGATGCAAAAGTTCCATTGATATATAGGTTGCCTATCACATCAATGCCTTTCATTCTCCACGTCCGAAAGACGGCGTCACAGAGACCTGGTGCAAAGGAATGATTTTCACAGATAGGAGTATCAAAGTAAACCTCTGGAGCTTTTATAAACTTTTGTATCTGTTTCCATATTCTGATGGTATTCCTAATGACAAAACTATTGGTATAGCGTGTTTATTGACTTTAATGGGGCTGTTAAGGAGCGCAGTTAGAGATGAATTAAACAATGCAGACGCTCCAAGGATAACCAGGAAGGACAGGTCCCATCAGATGAGAGTGGGCCCTTCTTCCACCACGCTAAGATGGATAAATGGCAAGCCCAGTAATATTGCTTGAAATCCGGTAAGGAAAACCCACCCACCATTCCCGGTTTACATAAGTGTACTTTGGAAATCCTGACATTTTTATAGCCCCAATAAAGGGAATAATAATAGAATCTAGTTGTCTGAAGTAGGATACCCCTATAAAACATGGGACAGATTGAAATAAGTGAAGAAATCGTGGTAATACCACCATTTTAATGGCGTTAATCTTGCCAGCCATAGATAGCGGGAGAGTTTTCCAGAAATCAATATTCTGTTTGAGTTGTTGGATTTTACTCTGCCAATTCAGCCGTAAAAGATGTTCTGGCTTCTTTGTTACCAACACGCCCAGGTATGTAAAAGAGTCATAAGTTATCTTAAATGATGTGGACTTCAGATATGCCAAATCAGCCTCTGTAGTAAGCGGCATTAGTTCACTTTTATCCCAATTAATAGAAAAACCAGAGAAACTGCTGAAATTGTTGATCACGTCAAAAGAGGAGACAGTGATTTCTGTGGGTTAGAGATGTATAAGAGTATGTCGTCAGCATACAGCGAAATGTGATGCTTACAATTAAACATCTCAATAGGAGATATTAATAGGTTTTGCCTAATGCTGGCAGCAAGAGGTTCAATAGCGACTGAAAAGAGAAATGGGGAGAGGGGGCAGCCTTGACGTGTACCACGATGAATAGCAAAGGGGCGGGAGATATTCTGATTAGTAATAACCGAGGCAGTTGGGTGTGAATAAATTATTTCAATCCAATCCGTAAACAGAGGCCCAAAACCAAACTTTTTAAGAACATACATCATATAAGGCCATTCTACTTGACCAAATGCTCGTTGTGCATCTAGCGAGACAACAATGGACTCCTTTGAATGATTTGAATATAATATATTGAAAAGACGACGCAAATTAAAAAACATATGCCTACCTGGCATAAAGCCAGTCTGATCCGGGTGGATGATTAAACATATGTGCTTTTTAAGTCTATTGGCTAGAATTTTCCCAAGGATTTTGGTTTCTAGAGGTAACAATGATATTGGGCGGTAGGATGTAACAACTTCAGGATCTCGGCCTGGTTTAGGAATAAGTGAGATATTGGCTCTGTATAGGGTGGGAGGCAGTCTTGCTGCTTGCTTAGAGTGGTTTAACATACGCAAAAGTAGAGGTGATAATTTGGAACTGAATACCTTGAAAAACTCAACACTGAAGCCATCAGGACCAGGCGCTTTGTTGTTGGGAAGTGTAGAAATAACAGATACAATTTCCTGTAAAGTTATGTTGACTTCCAGAGCCTCAGCTGAATCTGATGGCAGTTTTGGCAAATTCAAACTTTCAAAAAATCTGTCCATATTTTTCAATGTCCAATTTTCCTTGTGACTGATAGACACTAGTGTAGAAGTCTGCAAAGCAGTCGTTGATTTTATCCGGATCTGTGAGTAAAGTTCCATCTTCAAGCTTAATACGATGTATGGCTCTAGAGGCCTGTGTTTGTTTAAGCTGGCGGGCTAATAGCTTATGGGGTTTATCACCTAACTCAAAGTATCTTTGTTTGACTTGAACCAGTAATTTAGAAACGTTTCTTGACATAATAGAGTTATATTCATATCGTAGAGTTGTTATTTTATTCAAAATGTCAGGGCTATGTTTTAATTTATATGCGTTTTCTAAGGTGGTCAACAGGTCATCTATTTCATCCAACCTTAACTTGGACTCTTTACATTTTGCTGCCTCGAATGAGATTATACATCCTCTTATAACAGCCTTCATTGCTTCCCAAAGCATTGAATCATCCACATCCCCCTTATCATTAGAATTCAGAAATGACTTAATTTCGTCTGAGATATAGGAGAAAAACTCCTTATCTTTCAGCAGTGCATTATTTAAGCGCCAGCTCTGTCTCCCTTTTTTAAAATCTAGTTTAAGGTTCAGCAACACAGGAGCGTGATCCGATATGTGAATATTGTGATATTTGCAGCTTGATACTGATGCCAGCAACCTAGAGTCCAATAAGAAGTAATCAATCCTAGAGTAGGACTTATGTACTGCTGAAAAGTATGAATAATCTCTCCCATTAGGATATAGCAGTCTCCATATGTCAACCATATTATGAGATTGTAATAGAGTTTTAAGTGACTCCCTGTACTTGAATGAATTAGACTGAGGGTGTTGTCTATCTAAAATTGGGTCCAGGATTAGGTTTAGATCCCCCCAATATTATATTAGAGCCAACCCAATCCGGTACTACATTAAAAAGGTCTTGAAAAAAAATGGGACTGTCAAAATTAGGCCCATATATATTTATAAAAGTCACTGGTATAGAATTCAGCAGCCCACTAACAATCACATATCTTCCCCCTTGATCTGAAATAGTCTGTTTGTGAACAAAAGGTGTATGTTTTTTAATCAAAATTGCAACCCCTCTAGTTTTTGTGCTGAAATTTGACTGATATACATGGGAGGCCCAAGAGGACTAAGAACTTTAGCAGCTGTTTTCTTGATATGAGTTTCTTGGAGAAAACAAATATCAGCCTTCAACGAACGCAGGTGTGCATAAACTTTACCTCTTTTTAGAGGGCTATTTATCCCTCGAACATTCCAGCTAATTAGATTAATTCCATACTTACTTTGTTTATCTGGATCAGTTGACATCAATTTGTATATATTTTAGTAACTATGTGTTGCATGACTGTGAAGATAATTGTACAGTATTCAGAACATGCCGATGTGCAAGAAACAACCCTCCCAATAACGTAATGAACCCTCCCCACCCCCCAACATAACTGAACAGAACCAGGAGCGGTGTCTCGGTGTCTCCATACCCCCAACTAAAAGCTAGAACCAGCCTTCCACCTGGTGGAGGATTAGCAACAAGCTTCTCCATCTCTCCAAACCCGGATGCCGCTCAACCTCACAATTAAGTATCAAAATGAATAAGTTCAATTTCTCACTCAATGACAAATTTTTTACTTCTCGCTTTCTCAAGATTTCAAACATGGCAACAAAAAAATGGTCTGTCTCCTGCTTCATTTAGTTCCAGATTGCCAATCCTCAATTTGCCGGCTCAGGAATTTATCGGCTTCCTCTGGGTGCTGAATGTAGCGGTGTTGTTATTCACAGTATCTTTGAATATTTAAGGTTAACATGTTTTGATATTTAACTCAGTCCTGGATGACTGAGAATCTCCAGCAGCATTTTACATGTATGAACTGAGGCAATAAATTTAATAAAGGTTGAGTGATTTCTATTGAAGAAATATAAAGGTTAGCAAGTTTTTGTGTTTTCACTGTTTTTCTCTTTTAAATCACTTTAACTTTGTTGTGTTCAGTTTTGAGAAATGTAAAAACCATTTTATCATATGATCTGTGGCAATGTGTGTATTGTTGTTTATAGTTTTGTTTATATTTATGTCTGAAATAGAAACATTTAAAGCCAACTTATTGAAATTTGTTCCAGACATTCTGTGTTGCCATTTATAAAACTATAGATCTTTCCTTGGTTTGAAATGACAAAATGTTGAACCGATTCTCTCTGTTCCTCAGTCGGTTCTCCTGAAACCAAAGGCTGTGCTTTTTAAGCAGAACCTCATGAGTTCTGTTCTGACTGTCCGGCTGAACGGCTGGATGGTTTTCTTCATTGGAACAGCAGATGGACAGATCATCAAGGTGGGTAGAAAACTAACAACTGAGGGGCTAAATATGTTTCAGCAAAATAAGTAACATTAAACTGAAATTGGTTTCACCTTTTGTAAATCATATCAATATCACAGTTAAAACTGTTGAATTTGTGTTCTCTAAGAGTTGACAAGCAATATCTACATATGTGTTTTCATATTATTTTTGAAGTATAAAAACTTAACAGACAAAAATGTGGTGTATAAGTGAAACCACATGGACTTTCATAACATTTACTCCACAGGTGTTGGGGTTGTGTTGACATTAGATCAGACTGGGATGTATGTAATAAGCTTTAAAATGTTCTGCTCAAACTCAACCAGTTAAAAATACATTTTAATCTCTAGTAGGTTTTCCTCCAGGATCTCCCTGTAATCAGCTTCCTCCATATTCCCACTAACTCCCACCATAACATGATTCTGCCACCACTATGTCTGCCAAGAGGAAGATGGGAGTTTTTGTCACTGATAACATTTTGTTCAAAGGTCAAAAAGTTACATTTTGGTCTCATATGACCACAAAACCTTCTTCCACAGGTTTGCTGTATTTTCTGCAATTCAAGTCTTGTTTCCCAAAAATGGTCAGATTTGTCATGTGTGTGATCAATTGTTCTGTAACAGGTTTTCCCATTTCTGTAAATTTCTGCATGTCACTTTAGCTCTTTCATTCATAGTAGGTCATTTAATTCATCCTCTAACATCACTGTTATTGTTTTCAGCTTTCTGTGGACAGGAAGTATCGACCCTCCTGTCCACAGATCCTCTACAGAACCAGTGGAGACAACAAAGTGTTTCCAAAAGTCCAACTGGATCCAGTGGATCAGAAACATGTCTATGTGCCGTTTAAAAACCAGGTAGATGGAGCTTTGTCATGAGGCGTTCACTTCCCCTGCCTATTGCTGTGTTTCTGAAACATGGTGTTCTGCTCCAGGTTAAACGTGTTCCAGTGTCAAACTGCACAACTTACCAAAATGTGAAGGATTGTCTTTCTGCCCAGGATCCATTCTGTGTCTGGTGTGTCTCTAAGAAAAGGTCAGAGAAACTTCACCTGCAGCTCAATCCTTCATCTCAACTTTATGATGACACATTTAAATGTTTTCAGCTGCTCATTTAAAGACGACTGCATAGATTCAGAGAGGCTGTCCATCCCTGATGAATCCAAGCAGAAATAGTTTCTCACAGATTTCAGAAGGACTCCACAGGAGAGGTGGGTTATTAATATATTTATGACTGTATTTATCTGGAACTATCAGTCATTATCATCTTATATTTGTTCTTTTCTCAGATGAAAATAATCCTCCAATCACATCTGACTGTAGAGAAGAAGGTTCAGTCTAACTTCACCTGTGATTTCTCTACAACCTCCACTCAGCTTTGTACAAAACAAGAACCTAAACCACAGTACCCACAATGCACCTGCATTCTCAATGACCCTCTCCCTGGTCAGTGATGGTCAGGAAGTCTTTAAACATTTTGTTTCAGCTGTTAAAGTTTCATACTTTATCTTGGATTTACAGATCCTGACGTTACCGTGACGATCAGACTTGGAGACACAAAACTGACAGAACAAATAAAGATCATTAATTGTTCCAGTATCCAGGGGCAACCAAGTTTTCACCTGTAAGTTCATCTATGTTTTCTAATACAGATTTAATAACAACTGAAATCATCCTAAAGTCTAACAGTATGATTTAACTCCAGTGTTTTCATAATAACTCTGCATGAAATCTGAATAATGCAAATATTGTAGCTGATATTTAAATCTGACAGATTACAAGCTGGTAGAATCATCTGTTTTCTGTTGTAGCTGAAAGGAAATAATTTGTCTTGAATCCAGAGAAGCTTCATTTTTCACAATGTTTCATTAACAGGAAAGATGCATTATTATTGCATCTTGATGTTTCTAAAAGAATCTGCATCATGTGTCATAATGTTTGAGTAAGCTGAGATCAAACTGGGATCAAACTGGGGCTGTTTTCTGTCCAGGTGTCAGCGGTGTATCAGAGCAGGATGTGGGTGGAGACAGAACAGCTGCTCCTGGGCCACTGATGCAGTCAGCAACGTAATCTTGAAATATTTGATGATTTTTAGATGAAATTTAGAGAAGTTTCTTCTCAAATAGGGTTTGTTAGTTGTAATTGCATTTCTTAATATGAATTAAGAAATGTATTTCTTTACAGTTTTTGTGCTAAACTGGACTAATGTCATCTGGAACAGCTTCATAAAATGAACTGATAAATGTCACTTCTTTCTTTCTGCAGGACATTTGCCCAAACTTTGAGCAGTTTGGGAGAAATTTTTCTGTGAGTCTCATTTTTAATTGTTTTGAGTTCATTTGGTTACACTGAAAATATAACCAGCAAGTTATATTTGTTATATTTTTATTATAACTCTTTGGTAATGTGAAACATTTGTATTTTCTGCTCCTTCAGATACCAGAGATCTCCTCCGTCTCTCCCAGTGTTGTGTCTTTCTATGGCAGAAATCAGGCTGTGTTGTCGGGTCGTAACCTCAGAGATGTGACCAGAGTCAGGATTAAAGCAGACCTGGACTGTGACCCAAAGGAGTGAGTCTGTCTATACAATACTGTGTAACATATAATTTTTAATAAATACTTTCACTTTTAACTGGTTTTCCAATTGAAATGTTTTTTAGTTAATCTTGTGGCGCTGTCTATACTGTTTTCTCTCTGTGTTCTCTGATCAGGTCTCCTGTGTGGAACAACAGTGGTCTCAGTCTGTTGTTCCACCTTCCTGAAGTCCAAACTACAGGTGTGGTCAGAGTGTGTGTCCTACTCCCAGATGAAAGTTGCTATGGCGACGCCAAAGTCGTCTATCAATCATCACCAGTGTGCACCAACATCTTACCAAGCATCAGCTGGAGGAGGTATTTAAACCTTTTATGTGCAACATTTACTGCAGCTGTACCTCATCAGCGATGCTGCGAAATATGATATTCCAACTTTTATAGTCATATTTGACAAATTGGATCATTATTAAAATGTTTTTTAATTTCAATAACTTGTGAAATATAGTATTATAGTCCAATTACACAGTTTGATGTTTTCAAGCGTTTCTCATCATAATTAAACATTATGATGATTTTCTGTTTATAGGTGATAAAGATAAAAACATGACATTTAGGAATAAGAATCTTCCATGATACCAAAAATTGGATTCAAATTTAAAAATACAAGAATTACAGCCTCATATATGTAATATATAAGTCATTTTGTCATGTTGACGGTTTGTGAAGAACCCCAAGTGCAGAGATGGTTCTTTAGTGATGAACGACGAGACGAATTTTCAGGGCGGAGTTTCAGAAGAGCAGCATCAGGAGCATGGGTAGTAATAGTGAGTGATTGGAGGAATCGAGCAACTAACAATAAAAAACCAAGATCTTACATACTGAAGCACGACAGGAACAATAAAGGAATCAGATGAAATAATCAAGTTTTTTATCTGCTCTGGAGCAATAATTACCCCTTCTAGAATAGAGCGAGACTCTGTTTTATGGTTTCATTTCTGAGTTGCTCGTCCAGGAAGCACCATGCAGGCAACAGGCATTCAGAGATTACTCCAAAAAACCTGAGATGTGAGGCGGCTCTTCATCAAGCAATCTGAGGGAAGAACTTTATGATTGAAGATGAAATTTGGATTTGGTTTTGAAAATAAATTTATTTGAATTAAAATCTGCCTTCTAAATCTATACTTTGAAGTGTCTGACATGTAGAGCTCTGTGTATCTATTTGTAAGAAATTCATTTGAATTGATTTTGGTGGCATTTGTTCATGGGATGTATGCACTAATATAAACTTAGACCAACGAGTCAATCCTATTTGAATCTAATCAACAAACGCTATTTTTTATCTGACATATTTTTCTCCTACTGCTGCTCCGTGGCCGGCAGCGGAAACAGGGAAGTCACTCTAGTTGGAGCAAATCTGGATCTGGTGGAGGGGATCGCACACACAGCCACACCACACAGGAAGCTGTGTTTACCACAAACAGCAACTATCAGGTACTTTTGCACGGCTAATCTGACTGTTACCACACATTTAACTACATAATCTTCACAAAATACTGCAAGATTTTACCGTGACCTGGCAAACTGACATAGCTTCATTATTTCAGCATCAGATTGCTATCTGGTGACTGGAGTGAGTACAGAGTCATGCCAAGAAACCATATTGATGTTATTGAAACTTTGTGACATGCTGCATGACCATCCTGAGAGTGATGACTGTGGTCAGCAGTCAAGGAGGCTACAGTGTTTAAGTTGCCCAAAGTGTGGCAGGAAGACATATGCCCTCCGTGATTACCCACCACCAGCTTCCGTCAATACAGGACAAGAGACATTTTCGTTTTTATGTTGTTTGCATCTAATTCTGACCCTGCTATCTGAATGTCGCAGCTTAGATTAAGCAATATCCTTTCTGATTGCTCTGAACTCAAACAAGTCAGATTAATCTCCAAGCTTGAAAGCTAAGTTGCTAATGTAGTTCTATTCGCTAACAATTAGCCAAAAAGGTGAATTTGATGAATGGGTCGGTGAGGGTGTCCCAAATTCCTTTCAGACTCGTCTACGAAACACCAGCAGCCGAGAATGATGGGCGCTCCAGCAGCGCCGTGTTTCTGAAAGTAGCCAATCGAAGCTTAGAGTGCCCTAAAAAGATGACCTACCATCCAGATCCAGAGTTTATCAGCTTCACAGCTGTGAGCACGGGGCAGAAGAGCCATGTCTTTATCCAGGTAAGGGTGCTTTTTTTCTTTTGTAAATCCAGTATAAATGATCACCTGACGAAAGGTCACAAAAGGTGATACTCTTGTCTTTGTTCTTTCAGAAAAAGACAGACAACCTGGAGATGGAGCTAGCAGAGCTGTCAGTTTGGGTCATGAAGGATGAAAAGCAATATCCCTGCATCATAACATCCAAAGAAAACGGCGACAAAACAGAGACTGTCATCTGCGAGGTCCAAGGTTCACAAAATGATGACTTCAGACACATAAAGGTAAATGTAAATTCATGCTTCACTAAAATGGATGTAACAGTAAAATGTGTGGGTTTGCTTAAAATATATGAAATAAATGTGTGGTAGGACTGAATGTTGTTCGATCCAACAGTATAAATGTTTATATCCAACCCAGTGTCTCACTGGATCTGCTTCATTGATACAGTTGATCAGAATAAGAAGCTGAAACTCCATCTATTGTTCTGTACTCGTTTCACTAGACAGGTTTTCATTTATCAATAAATGTCAGAGACTAAGAGCAGTTTGGCGTAGTTCCTGATAATCAGATGCTGTCCCAACTTTTCACTCTTGATTAAAGTGACCACTTTTATTAATAATTGCCCTTTATAGCTTGACAGTTATTCGAGTCCAACCAGCCTATTGTTGAGCAAAAAAACCTTTCAGAGATGCAGGAGATTCATTTACAGATTTATCTTTTCTTCTGATTTACAACTCAAAATTAAAGTTCTTTTTACATCAGCTGTATTTCTCTTTTCAAGATCAAATACGGAAAGGAAACAATAAATCTACAGATTTTGTCTTTATTTCATCAAGTCCTTCTGATTCTGCGGCTCTTGCTAATACCCTGTGTTGTTGCTGGTAAGTACATTAACATGACTGATGTTTAGTTTTGGCCCACTGACTGCACCAAATGCCAAATAACATACAACGTTCCATCTGCATTTTCCAACACAATGAATATTGTATTATATGATGAGTCAATGTGATCAAAATAATCACTAGGACATTTTTATTTGCAGTATTGTTTGAATCAAGGTCAAAGTTCCAACTGAGAACCTCTTTGTATTCCAGTGCAGGTGATTGTTTGTGTGTGGAAAAGACGGACTGAGAGAAATCTCTGATCGCCCGACGGTTTCTGGAAGAAAAACTTCAGTAAGAGGGGTGTTTCTATTTGTATCTTTCTGAACTTCTCTAACCTTTATCTTTCTGAAACATCATGTTTTTTAGAAATGAACTCAGAAAATCAAAAAATCTGTTTTGATGTTTTCAGGGCCGGCCCACATGGGGCCCTAAGCAGAACTCGATTTGGGGCCTGTCCTGCTCAGAACAGCATTGTAGACCAGAAGTGGTGGAATCTGGGAAAGGGGGCGGAGCTTAGAGCAATCTGAGATAATTGGTTATTTGCTGAGACGTATTTATAGACTGAAGATCAAACACAGATTGTTAAAGTCGCAGCATCAGATTATAACAGTTGGGCCCTCAGTAGTGGATTAGTTTGCTTCTGCCTGTTTGTTTTGCGCCTTTGCTGATTGAACCATTTTGTTGTTTTCTTTTTCAATGTTTATATTACTGTAGTAGATGACAAATGTGCGTGCAAATAATGCTTCTGATCTGTGCAAAAACATCTTCCTGGCTTTGAACTTGTAAATGTTGAGAATAATTGAAAGAGCATTTTTGCTAAAATATTATTGTTCATGTACAAACAGTATTTTGGGCTTTCTCCTACTGCTGCAAATGCACACTTTCAGTGATTCGTTTATTGGTCAAAAATACACAATTCATTAGTTTTTGGTTTATTTTGGTTTTGTTTTTTGGACGAATATTAAAGTGCACAGAGAATGCTGACAAAAATACTGAACTTTTAAAAAACTTTTGAGATGTACCTTCATCGTATGTCACTTAGTGAACTGCATGAGAAATGAGATTTTATATACCACTCAAACTTTATCAAAAGGAGCCTTGATGTGCTGGTACATGGTTACTGATCAGCTGGAAGTGGGAAGAGCAGGGAGTTAGAACCAACAGAGGAAGAATGTTAAGCCACAGAATCCATGTCAATTCTACAAAGAGAGCAGAATCACAAAAGAGAATCCAAATCATTCAAAGTAGTCATTTCATACAGCGATATGAAACAAACAATAAATACACTAAGACCTTCAACTTGAATGTTTTTCGGGACACATCGAAAATGGAAAATATTTTGAACAAAACCATAACAACACTTGTTCTCGTTTCAGAGTGTACGGAAGTGGTGTACGTCTGATGTACCGCGGTAACAGCAGTGTGAACATGAGCACATTTCCTACCACTGGGAACCAGAAATGCTTTTGACATGGTGTGTTTGGACCTTTTCTAACTCAGGTAGTTAGGAAGTTACTCTCTGTAACTCCAACAGGTTACACAGTCGAGCTGTTAGCTGTGATTGATGCAATTCATATACAGGGCTACATCACAGATGTCGTTTTTTTAGCTGGAGTAAATTAAAGACGCTGACTGTAGTAAAAAATGAGGTGGAATCGCCCTTTAGCCATGTTCTGAATTGGAAGCTGCGATTGCAACATCTGCTTCATCCAAGCAGCAGGACCTAACATGCAGTTCTCTTAATGTATGAGAAATCCATGAAATCCCAAATACAATATTTAATGAAAGTCTCTCATAAATGATGGCGGCGTCAGCTGTAGGAATTTGCCTTGAAGTCAATGGATCGCCAGATATCGATCTGGTCTACCTTTGAGATTTCAGTTTGATGAATAAAAGGGATTATTGAAAAAAGAAACCAAAATATCACACCAGCATTCTATTCTTTGTAAAAGTTACTTTTACAGTCTGGTTTAAGGTTTTACATTGTAGATATAAATATCAGCAAAATTAGAGATTTTGGCCAATTAGTACCGTTAATTTTAGGATGATTCACTGCTGGCAATATTACAATATTTTGCTATGAATTTTACAATTCCTTATATTTTTACAATATATTTCTGTGTTTTCTACATTTCATGACTGTCAAAATTACTTGAAAAATGTTTATTGAGTTATTGCAATTCCATGTATTTTCTATGCTAGTATAATGCTTTGGATGTAACTGTTGGTATTTCACCATTTTTTACTGTAAATTCACAGATTTTGTTTGTTTTTGTTGTTGCAGTTTTGAGTTACGGTCATTCCATGTATTTTCTATGGTAATAAAATGTTTTGGATATTGCAGTCAGTAAGTGTCGGTATTTCACCATTTTTTACCATAGTTTTTTTTTTGCAGTATACAATATGCTGACATAATCACAACGTGTTAAGTACTTGTCTGAGAGTGTTCCTCAAGATGATTTGTGTATCATCACGAAGTAGTAATAAATTTATTGCTACTCTATTGTGAAATTAGGACATTTAATTTAAAGAGTAGGGATGTGTGTAAGATTATTTATTTTTGCAGCTAGGTTTATAAATGTGGTTGCAACTCTGTTGCATACAGGGTGAGTTATTTAACTGATCTCTACTTAAAGAATTGAGCTTTGCCTTTAGAGAGTCAGTTATTGTTTTTTTTATTTTGACTGTTGATTTGTTGGATATGAAGTAAATATAAACTCTGGACAGCCACACTACTCCCTCTTGGTGTGCTGCTCTCTCTCTCATTTTTGGGGGGTAACCAGTCTAGCCCCACATAGCAGTGCTACATTAACATTAGTATCATTTACGGGCAACCATTCCAGAACAGAGCTGTTATATCTGCAGCAGGTTCCAGCTGATGGTTTATGTCTCAACCATCAGCTGTGGGCTGATGGTTGAGACATGACCGCTTCCTGAGAGACATGTTTGTCACCCGAACGCTTTTACTGACACAGAGACCAGAGATGTCTATTTGCTTTCACCGCAGGGTTTTTCTGAGGTATGGTTTCAGAGTTAGTTTCAGAAGTAAGTATATCGACTTTGGTGGCTTAGTACCAAAGTCTGTTACTAAAACATATTTTCCCATGAACATAAATTACTGAAAACATTGCCGACTTCCAGTTGGGCATTTATGCGTGTAAACATGCATAAGTGCATATTTACATGCATTTATGCATATAAACATGCATTTATGCATATAAACATGCATAAATGCATGTTTACATTTAGGGACTGTTTGCTTAAATAGTCCCTTAAGCAAAAACAGGTAAAAAAAATAAAATAAAAATAAACTTTTATATCTTAATTTGGTAAATATCATTGTGACAATCTGTGGGGATGATCTAAATATTCTCATTACAGGTATATTTATCTGCCTTTTTTGTTTTTGAGAAGTAAATGGCAACTGGGCAGAGACACACATCACAGAGCGAGGGTTTGATGAACATGGAGAAGGTTTATTTTACTTTGTGTTTTCATTTGTGTTACAGTTGGCAATTCATGTAAATATGGTGAAGAAACACAAGGACAGGTATAATTCTTTCACGAGTATAAATAATATTTTTCCTACATTTGTCTGTGAGTCAGACAGAAACGTTTTAATTTTTTTTTCCTATTCATACATTTTTGTTTTTCAGGCCAGTGAAGTCTAATGCAGTGCAAAGATGGATGAAACACTATTTTTGATGTTCTGTTTAATTTGTGGGTATCTTTCAGAAAGTGTTTTATCTCTAACTTCTGTGGTGATAGAAAAATTGCAAATGAAGTTGCTGAAATGTTGATATGTGAGCACAATCTGATGTCAAGATAAGTAACTGTGTAATATGCACACATGCCTAGTAGTAGTTAGAAATGTTGAGTGTATATTTAGCAATATCTGTTGCTACCGGAAGACTGCGCTCCCAAATAACAGCTTCCTGAAGTATATTGAACTAGTCAGAAACAATTTTTTCACCAATTAAAATCCTCCAGTTGTTGCCAGGAAGTGACAGAAGATATAACCAGTGTGAGAGAAAAAAACTTCTGTAGCATATCTGTAAATTTAAAGAGCTTTGCAAGAGTTATAGTTCTTGATGTAGTCATATTTTGTCATGTGAAAACACAAATCAGTGCATAGTTGTCAAGCGAAAGGGAAGAGATGCATGTTTTTTTAAAATCTATATATATTTTTTTTTACAAAAGCAAACTTTTTAGAAATAAAACTGAAGAGTGGTATTCATTTATAACTCCCTTCCTCTCCCAGGATGTCCAAATTAGATTATATAACATTTACTTCCCCGTCAACCAGTGACACTGGAAGACTGAACTGGCTTTTTGTTTGCGTTGCATGCTGTCTTGAGCTTTCGTTACATTTTCTATCCAAAACATCTGGCATTTCACCCAGACGTTCGAGGCGCAGCAGAGATGATCAGAGCTTGGTCTTCTTGATGACGCGTCTCTTCTGGCACTGACAGATGATCATCAGCACTGAAAGACCAACAGTTGTCCCCCATTTAGTTCTCCACACTGACTAGTGTAGGTAGTACTTGTAACGTGGAATTGTGGGAAAAAAACCCCTAAAATTGACCATTTTAAAAGATGAGGTGAACAGTAAGTGAACCATATCGTCAGTGGTGTTCGTGAAACAAACTCACCAACAGCAACAGAGGGGAGGAACATCAGGCGCAGGACGAGAAGGTTCTGATCCAATAAAGATGGATTCCACACCTGCACTATTGTTTCTCCATACATAATCTGGAGGTATGTGAGAAATGTTATTTAAAACTGAATATTTAAATGAAAAATTAAAAGCATATTTAAAACGTATGAGTCGTATTTCATAATAGCATTACATAATAATAACAGTATAACAATACTTGTAATCATAAATAATAATTGTTCCAGCACTTATAATTACAAGACAGTTCAAATTGTAGCAAGTTGTTTGAGAAAGTGTTTTACCTTTAGCTGATTAAATACGACACCGGTTGTGTTTTGAATCTCACAGACCAGAATCTGTACAAAGGGACTGTGAGTTTTATTTTCATATTTGTCATCTTTAAGCTGCAGGATGCAGGGATACTGCTTCTCATCCTTAATGCCCCAAATTGACAACTCGGCTGTTGTCATCATCAGTCTGTCTTTATTTTTCTGAAAAAAAAAAAAGAAACAAAATTACGTCTCTTTAAAAAAATCTTTTATAATCTAATTGTCATGAAGAATGATAAATAAAGTAATAATAAAATAGAATAAAACTCACCAGAGTGGTGATTTTGATATTATCTTCTGTCCTCTGGGCTCTGAAGTTGTTAAATTGAGGGTCTGGATAGTGGAACATTTTTGCTGAACATCTCAATGTCTGATTGGCTACTTTCATATACACACCAGCCCCGTTCCACTCAGAGGGCTTAACAGGAAGTGTTTTATAGATGAGAGTCTGCAGAGAATTCATAAATATTCATTGTCGAATACAATAATAAAAAAAAAACAGATTTGACCTAATGCATTGATGTGATTATA